AAAACTTATAAAAGCCTGTAAATAAAAACAAATAAATAACTTGTTATCGCTTAGTAAAACATATTATCAACAACTTCGTGTTCAATTTGCAAACATATCTACTCGGCCGAAACAATTGTATCTACGTAAAATGCCTGTAAACAATTCAAAAATCTTCGGAAAGGTTTCAAAATAGAACCTTGACTAGCAAAAGCTAATATGAGACCCTATTAAGTGTACTGCAGTGTAAACTTTAGATCTCTGGCGTTGTTTTTAACTGATTTACAATAAAAAAAAAAATTCGAAAATATTGAAATTGTTTTTTACCGTAAACTTTCCCGTTATGTTAGGTACTTACGTTTTTTCTCCTTAAATATTAAAGAAAACTACAAGGAATATAAAAGGTTTAAATTTTTGAAACGATGTCACATTCGAAAATCTGAGTGAAATTTTAGGTAAAAAAGCTGTTCGCAGACACATAAAAAAAAAAAAAAAACCATGACATAGTATAAAACACACCGTACTCGGAAATAAATACAATTTGTTTAATATATTGTGCGCTCGCTATTTTCGTTGTATAGGTATCGTTTGACGAATTCGACGATTATTTACTTACCATAGAACTGCATCGATACGTATTGCGAACAGCGGAAAAGTAAATCTATGATTTATATTTTTAAAAATGTAGAAAAAAAAAATCATGTTCCGTTGTGTACGTAACACGTACACCGCCGAAATCGGCAAACCGCGCAATAATTACGCGAAACACCGTAAACTCCAGTAAGTCGAATAATTGCACCGGGTGCAGTAAAATAGCGCATCAAACCGAAAACTGTACATAATTGGGACTCGGAACTTGAACTAAAAATCTTTGAAAAAATGCATAAACCGACGTAAAAATGTTAAAAAATTACCTGAAAAAAAAAATTGTTTATTTCATTCAAGAATAGTGTTAAAACGTACCAGTGCCATTAAAAACCGACACAAAAACTAATATTTTATTTAAATTAAAAATAGCGAACAAATATAACACTAATAGAACCTTTTATCGTAATTAAAATAAATATGCTTTCTTTTGTGTTATTTTTTTTCTAGTTTCTTATATTTTATTGATTGAATTGTAGAAAAATTAGAGAAAGCCAAATTAAAAAGGTACTCGGGCAAATAAATACTAAATTATTTGTGTACATTTCATGTCCCTATGTGAGTGCGTTTTGTTGCGGCCCGTCTAGGCGTATGTGTACACTGCCGTCAATACGTAAAATTATAGCTCAAAGTTTATAGGAAAAAAAAAAAAAAAATTGACCTTTTAACCGAGAAACGCCGAATAAATGTCAAAATGTCAATTCGTACCGAAGAAATCTGCGTGACACGAGTCGAATTTCAATAAAAAAAAAGTGCGCTTCGTCGAATGTTAGCGTTGGAAAAAAAGACGCGAATGCATCAGGTTCCGGGTCCCGAATATAATATAGTTTAAGGCGGCGTTTCTTTTTTTTTTTTTTTTATAACGCATCATTTGCACTTATTTCACTTTTTTCTTTTCCCCTCCGGAGAATTCTCGTTCACTGGCCGCACACGCGGAATCGTCTTCTTCCGTCCGCAAAATCTCCCTTCGGTTTTTTACAACGCGCACTCCTCCGACGCGTCCATTATTACGCGCGGGAAACAATATCCGTAAAATAATCTTTAAACACCATGAAAAACGTTCTATTTTTCCTGGCCGTTCCTATAACGGCTCGTAGTGACAGAAACGAAAAACGAACGTCGTCGAAAAAAAAACAAAACTACTAAATTCCTATTGTTTCACTCGAGAGTCTAAAAAAAGATTCGACGAATTTGTTATAAATTCTATTCAAATCAATTTTAAACGAAAAATCATGGCGGTAATATTTTTGTTTATGTGCGTTTAATGAATTTTATTTTCGCGTTATCTTTATTAGAATTTCGGAAAAAAAATGTAAAATACAATTAGCCGTTTAACAATATCGCTGTTCACGATAATATTATTTTCCAAGAGAAATTCCCGTGTTTTTTTTTTGTTTGTGCCCGTAATAAAATGGTAATTACGGTAACCACAGTAACGCGCATGCAACGAGGCTTATAATATTATTACGGACAAATTGATTTCCATTTTAGACGTTTTTATCCATTGGTATTTTTTTTTTTTAATGTATACAACGAATTCCGGTTTGTAAGCTCACTTAAGTGCTATAAGTACCTTATTATAATATTATGTTTGTTGAAATAATTTCTGGTACCCTTATAACAATAAATCGGAATATTGTTATTCGCGTTGATTTGAGAATATTTTTATTTTACTTCAACATGTGTTGAAAAACAATCGTGTAAATATTATTGCAGTATGTTATCATATTCGGTTGAATTTTCCATCGCACAAACACGTATATAGATACTCGAAACTGTGTGACCGAATATTTTTTTTTTTTTTATTTAGGATTCTTTATAATAGTCATTGTATAACTTTGTGTCTATACCTACGGAATCAATAAAAAAAATAAAAAAACCGGGCGTACTGCATACCGTGGGTAGCCACTGTTATACGCGAGTTGTAGTTAGATAGACAATACGGTGATATTTGTTTTATGTCCTTAAAAAAAAAAACCTTAAATCATTAATCTCAAATCAAAATCCATTCCGAACGGAGCTCATTAAAATTCATGAACAGTATTACTCGCGATTGTTCCCATTGTACCCAACGGTGTTTATCCGGAAACCAACAAAGTAAAACCGTCAGTAGTCGTCGGTTACTTTTAAAAATATTTGTATAGAAAAACTGTTGGTAGGCACCACTAGATCGGTATTTAGAGAAACGTTTCAAGTACCTAATAAATACCACCGGACATTCCGCATCGTATATGAAATAATCGTAACATTTTCACTGGCCGAAAAGGCACTGTCCGAGAAAAAACACGACTACAGTGTCTTCTCGAAATCTAAAATGAATCAGATCAAACGTGATGTGTCAAATATTCTTTAGTGAATATCTGCTGTGGATCCATTCTCATTGTTTTAAAAAAAAACATCTCTCGAGCAAATAGACCAAACCACCCAGTTAGCCTTTCGAATTTTCCCCTGGATCTCTCTCACCGCCAGTGAGAATATCCTCTACACGTAATACAGGGGCGTTATTTCGATTTTTCAACACGAATTCAGACATTTGAATCCGAAAAATTTTTCAGAAAACTAAACTACGGTCTTGGTTTATTTTAGTTTGGATACTCGACTCGTTGTAACACGATTTACTCCGCGTGACGTCGGTGTCGACGCGTATTGTTTATCCTGTTAACATAGCTGTTTATTCAGCCATGATGCCAATTAACTGCAGCCGTTGACAATTAACCGTGGTGATAGTCTCCCGTGTTTCACTCTCACGTCTCAAACGGTCGAACCCTTATTGCGTAGAAGCGGCCGTTGGCCAACGGTGGTTCGATTATCTTTTGCATTTTATCAATAACGGCACAATTATAGCGTTTCGTGTTAACCAAAGAGCCGATATAGGCAACCAAAGTATACAATCTGAATCCCTCAAATGACGCCCGTGACATAACGTAGTTTGTTTTATCACGCAAATTACACGGACTCGAGCGTTTACCGCTTATTCTCCAGTGAACGAAATCTCACTTTGCCGGGCGCTCTTTGCAACGCGCGCCGATTCGGACGCCCGAGGCCTCGTTAAACGAAAAACCCGTCCGGACGACCGCTGTCCGTATTCGCGTTAGGTTCGACTATTACACGGACCGTTTTTCGACTCGCCGACAAAAATAATAATGCGATTCGCGGTTACGCAGGTAAACCCAAAAAAGTCCGGTGCAGACACGCGCGTGGTTCGCGTCGGAACCCGCGAACGCTTTGTATCCGCGGCGCACACACCACTGACATATCACCGCGCGCAGCGGCAGCAGCAACAACAAAAACAGACGAAACCGCCTAAATCGTTTTCAATTACCAATAACCCGAAGTTTGTTCATAACTTTCCGCGTCGCTCAGTCTAAATGTAAATTTCGCTCGGGTAACAAACACTGGTGGCGCAGTTCACCGCGAATAAATCGGAAGTTGATTTAAACAGCAAACGCCCGCGCGTACCGTCCGTCGGCTGCTCCGTTCGCGTGTTCTCCAAACTTGTTAACCGCACGCACACGCGCCGGGCACCGTCACCCTGACTCTCCCCTGACGCTCCATTCAAAGTAGTTTAAAGCGGAAAACTTTTATATTTTTTGAACAAACGCCACCGGCGGCGGGGATCGATGAAATTCAAAACCCAAAGATAAATATTTTCCCGAGGTAAATAGGTATCAAACCGCGGCCGCGGCGAGAGGGTGAGGATCGAATTTTTTATTTTCTCCATTATATATACGCGTTTGTACCTACCTGTATACACGCCTGACACCTCTACACACACGCAGAAACGTCAAAACGAATACTGTACGTTATTTTCGTATCGAGAAAACAACGAACATATCGCAAGATGGAAAACTACATCCGTTATAAGAAAAGAAGGAAAAAGATACGGCATGCTTCGTCGTTATATTTCAGGTGAGAATGTGGAAAGATATAGGACGTAGAGGGGAATTCAATGTATATCAGTGGTACGCTACGGTTAATCTTCGCTAACGGAAAATGATTCTGAGTTCTGAGTGGAGTTCAGTTATAGGTGTATTGAAAGGCCGTAATATTTACAACTTGAAAATAATATACTTCGTAAATTTTCCCGGTTTTTCCTGGTATTTCCAATAGCTAAAAAAAAAAAAAAAATCAAAAAATGACCCGGTCAAAATACCACCCCAGTCAGATTTCCCTTCAAAAAAAGTGCAACACTTGTATACCGGAGCAAAATTGCTGGTAGTTGTTTACAGATGAATAAAAACAAACATCATTATAAAACCAATCCGTTTAAAACGGTGACGGGTATACAACGCTGGTTTTAAAAGAGAAGTCTTAAAAGGCGGGACGTATTGAATAATTAAATTTCTGTCGGTACGCAACGATGAACCACAGCTAACCGAAAACGGTTCTGAGCGGAGCGTTATTATACAGTCGTGTTTTATCGTTTGTCGCCATAGTGGTCCGGTAATCGATGAAAACTGTACATGTGTACGTAAAATTGCCAGTTTTTCCCTTTCGTTAAGAAAAACAACGAGGAAACGCGAAAAACGTACCGATTATAGATCGAAAATTATGCGAGAAAGTTCCAATAAAGTTTTCAATGGGGGCGCGATCTCCGGTAGAAAAGTTGTTCACGGAGAGAGGAAATAAAAACATTTTAATAAACACTATTAAACCGTTACGTTTCCCGGTTCGCTGAGAGTCTGAAAGGAAAAAAAAACAAATTTAATTAAATATAATTAATTTTAAATAATTATACATTATATTAAACGCTGCGTCCGTGACCGTAGGTATTATATTTATGACGCCCTTCTCAGGAGCATACACAATTATAATGATTTATTCAACAGATTATATTATATTATAATATACTATTATGTAAGTGCGTTAGTTTTTTTTTTTTTTACTTTTTTTTCTTTTACAAATCGTAATAACTCGATAAGCGAAATATACGTTACCGAAAGAAATAAACCACCGCGATATAGATGGAATGGGAGGGGGAGCGAGACAAGGAGTAAAAAAATATACCACTGCCGACGCTTTCGTTTTGAGAACACCGTTCGATTTAATTCAATACTGCGACCGTGTTTATGGCGTTCCGTGAAGAGTTACGGTTTTCTACCCCGTTATTATATTGCCGTAATAAAATCGCAGTATAATTTCCGTAATCAAATCGAACGGCGAACGATTTTCTATTCACGTCGCGCGTCGTCGGTACGCCCGTGAATCGTAAATAAACAGGTAAAGTTTTCCGCAAGCGTCAGCGATTTCGTAATTCCCCATCCCCCCCCCAAAAAAAAAAAAAAAAAAATATAAAAAATATTAACGTTAGTTGTATAGTTTATAAATTGTACCCACAGGTGAACCCACCCCGGTTTTCGAATTTGTACCCTGAAATTTCGGGGTATTCTAAAATTGTTGATAGTCAAAGTGCAAAAAACATTTTATTTTTTTGAGAACTTTCGAAAGTGGCGGTGCGCCGCTAATGCCTGGGAAACCTACCTTAAATATGCGAGTTGTCTAATCGAGAAGTGTGCGTGTGATTTCACACTACAGATATTTTTAAAAAAAAAAACAAAACAAAACCTGCTAATGTATATACTCGAAAATATTCGAAAAAATACAGATGATATATTACAAATTTAAAAATGGTCCCCGTCACAAAATTCGTAATTGTTGTGTGATAATAAAATATGATCAAATACCGAGTGCGTGAAATACAAAATAATTTAAAAAATACACCTGTCCTTCAATATGATTTCGGAAACGTAAATGATTTTGATTTCGAGCGACTTTAGAAATGGAAAATCATCGACAAAAACATTGTTTAGGCCGCCACATTGGGTACGAGTTATTGTTGTTCTATTTACTTGAACAAAAGACGATAGGTATTCAAGACTGAAAAGTCGCTTTTTCGCATTTTGTATTTACCTAAAAGGGATACTCGTTCATCGGGGGCTAATAGCTTTTATTTTTTTTAAAAAAAAAAAAGGCGGCTAAAAACATAATAACAACGATACTGCGGAATGCCAACAGAAACTACAGAAATACAATTCTAATGCACGTGATAACGGGTTTCCTTGTCGATATGATTAAACAAATAAACATAAAGATGTTCGGTACAGTTTGAATTGTCCTTGTTATTGAGTGCGTTTCGAAAGCCATACGGTATTGAAACAGCGCGAAACGCGAAAAAAGCGCACGGACATCGAAACGAGTAAAAAAAAAAAAAAAAAAAATAATGCGACACAAACTCTCGTACAGCCAACGCGGATTCGTGATTTCCCAATACGGATTTGTAACCGACTCGCGTGGGTATCGTTAAGTTCGTTAAAAAGAAACGAAAAAAAGTAGAAAAACGCAAAACGTGCCGCCCGCGGGCCGTCGTGCACTCTGCACCGGGTGAAATCGCGTCCGTTAATAATCTTCGTCGCGGGCCGTTTCTCGCCGGACCCCGGTACGTTTCGGACGCGTTCCCGCGCCAAAGTACTCCGACGTCGGCCGCGGTAATAAAATATTCTGTAACGGCGTTGTAGGTATAACGTCCCTAATAATAATAATAATAATAATAATTAACGTTATTAACAAATAAAAAAAAAAAAAAAAAAAACCCGAAAAAAAAGGTGCGTGGGGGGACGTTATAACAAATCATCGTTATTCGCACGTGATATAAATACCGTAAAAAAAAAAAAAAAAAACCAAAAACAAAACTGCCCGTTCGACCCGGTCCCGAGCGCGTGATCATTATTAATGTAAATATTTTACGGCGGCGCCGTGCGGCTCGTAAAATTGAACGGCAGCGACGGGGAGCGCACTCGGCGCCCGGGGCACCCGCGGATGTCGAAAAACGGCCGCGGGCTACCGGGCCGGTGCGCTTACGGCGCGGCCGTTTCGCCGGTCCCGTACGCGCGTTCCCGTTAACGCGGTCGACGCCGTTGTCGTTTGTTGTTCGTCGCGGACGTCGCTCCCGGGATTTGTCGCGAACGGACCGGACCGGACCGCGGACGACGGTGCTGACAGTAACTTGGGCGCGCGCGCCGCGAATGCGACCCGTTCGCCATACGAATATTAATACACCGTCCGGGCCCACGATTGCCGTGACTCCCGTTAGCGGCGGGGAGAATTCCGCTATCCGAAATCCGAAAAACGTCCCATGACAGACGGACGCGTTATGACAATTCTAATCGCAGATACTTACCGAACAAAAATGCATTGTAAACGCGCACAGATATCGAATTACTGTAAAAAAACAACCAGAAAATGACTGGAACGTTTCGACAATTTCCACCACCTCCCCCCCCTCCCGTCTACAAAACGCCAACGTCAGTATCTCGTATACGATTGTTTAACATTAGCCGCGATAATGTAAAATCGTGAAACCGTTACGCCGTAAATATTTGTCCGTCCGTTCCAACGTTTTTTCCCAATAATTATGAAAACCTGTTTGCAAAATCAAAAAATTACCACTTTAAAGTGACGACTAAACAATTTCATAGAAAACCAACACGTTTGAATGCAATTTAACACGTCGGGGACGCATCTATACAACAACAAAACATTAACACCTAAACGTTATATTATATCATTGGCATAGTTTTTATAAATTTTGGATTCGGAGCGCACGAGGAACGCACTGGTTTATTTTTATTTTTTTATTCCGCGAGCGACTATTTCACCGGGAATCTTGATCCGATATGCCGAGCGTAGCGACTCTTCCGTAAGAAAATTTCATCTACTCGGTACTTAAGGGAGGTCGTCTTTTGGTTTTCCAAACGGTTTTCATATTGAGTGGAGAAAACCGTAGAAAAACAGGAAAATCTAATACTAACTTCCCGACTTCTCGCCTACAACCGCGTTGTTTTTTATTTGTTATTAATTTTGGAATTGTTCCGAGCCAATTAGCGTCACTCTAGGAGACGACCCGGTCGATAATAATACTCCGAGAACACCGAAAACTGTGTAAAGACTTGGCGGTGAACTGCAATATTATGTTGATCTGAGGAGTGACGACTGTAACAGCGAAGATCGTACACATACATACTGATCGTCCGAAAACCATGGGCGTCATTTCAGTTGTTCAATAGGTATGCAAACATTTGAATCGGGCCTATTTTTCTAACCATTTTCCGTTCGCTTATATTCGTATTCCTGATTTACGTTTTAATACTGAAATACACGGTTCCGCGACATTACAGTAAATTCGACGCTAAACTACGGTCTCGGTTTATTTTAGTTTAAATACTTCGCTCGTTATACCGCGATTTATCCCACGTGACGTCAGTCTCGTCGCGTACTGTTATCATCGCTAACACGCCTGTTTATTTAGCCACGGCAGTAATTAACAGTCGACGACTAACCGCGGTGACTAACCCACCCTCACTTCTCAAACAGTCACCTAACAGGACCTACCTGCGTGGAGACGGCCGTTGGTTCGATTACCTTTTGCGTTTTATAACCGTTATGACATTTAGCGAAAACCGTTTAAAAATACAGCGGTTGGCAATGCGCAGTCCGAATCACCGGAACGACGCCCCCGCCCGAAAACGCACGGGCTCGAAACCGAGCCGAACCGCGCGCGTCGCCCCGGGACGTTCGGCATTTTCGGATTCGCGCGCGGTCGTCTATCGCTGAAATCCCGAAACGGTTCGCGTCTAAAAACGCCGCGAAAATCGCCCGGGCGAACGTATTTATCGTACGGGAAAATCTAGAAAATCGACCGCGGTGTCCGTTACGAACGGACGTTTCGCAGCCCCGCCGGGCAATTTCCTTGTCGGCCACCGCCGGTAACTCGGAAAAAATTAAATTAAACCCCGCCGTAAGATACCGGCGGGCGCGGGAGCGGTGAGGTGATACTCGGAGGTCCGGACGTTATTATTGTAAAACGGTCGCGACCCGCGCCGGAAACGCGAAAAACTGCGCTCGATTTTCTACGGCTTTTTCGCGCAGGTCACCGTGCGCCGGCACGAGTACTTACCGTCTAGTCGTCCGAGGGCTTTCGCGCGCCCCCCACCCCCCCACCCCCCCGCGGGAGGTCGGAACACCGTATATTATACTATATTGTTATCGCCGTCCGTTTATATATATACCTGACCGGGGGCCCGGGGTTAGAGGGTAAGGAAGACGACCCGAAATCCGCTTTCCGACTTACATATTATTGTTGTACGCACAGAGCGTCGGGGCGCATCGGGACAATATCGACAGTAATAATAATAATAATAATAATAACAATGATAACGAAACGCGGGCACGCGTATCGGGGTCGACCCGAGACCCGGGAGGTCTTTCGGCGGCGGGCACCCCAACCCCCGCCCCCTCCCCCCGACCTATCCGGCGCGATCGTTCGTCATCGCGCGCGACACAAAAGTCGACCGAACCCGCGGCCGAAACGCGCGCCGGAGCCGGCACTCTATGGTCCGCATACACCTACCCCTTACCTCTGACGGTAATCCGCCGCGCTGCTCCTCGACCATTCTTCTCTCTCCCGGACTCGTCCCCGAGTACACACTGTACGTTATACTGCAGTGTGGTGTGCATACTGCAGTGCACATCATTCACACCCTCGTCGGCGTTCCCGGCCCGGGCGGCGTTCGTTCCATCATCGCGCGCACAATGCGTACCGTGTGTGCGAAGGGAGGGGAAGAAAAAAAGTGGAAAAAAAAGGCATTATCGACGGCGTATACGCTGCCGGTGCGAGATGTTGGCATATTGCGCCGATGATGTATCGCAACGCGCCGACAATCCATAACGTTATAATATACTAATATCGTAAAGAAAGAGAATCTCTCTTTTTTTTCCCGTTTTTTTTTTTGTCGGTTCGAGACAATCTCGTAAATCCGTATAAGGGTCGCGCGCCGCCGCCGACGGATTCGCCGGAATTTCGCCGAAAACCCAAAATCGACGGGACAATTCCATTTTCACCGTAACGAGTCACAAAATGTGCAAGGGGTAGCGATACGACATCGGCGACGAGTTAGCATAAGCCGGAAATTCATCGACGGACGAGCTTTTACGATTACCCGCGGCGGCTTATTGTATACGAGCCATCACATGCAGCGTAATATATTGTACATTACAATTTACAATAAAACTGTACGTTTATTGTTTTTTTTTTCAACCTAAATTTATATTCGTTGTAAAATATTATGCAAAACGCGAAAAACGGTACAGGTAAATTTCGGGAAACAAAACGGCCGATTGATCCAAACTTCAAACGTCGTCGTTTTCGGAAAAATCGATATTTTTTAACCCGCGGATTAAAATAACGTAGAACCCGTGATTCGGGTCCAGATTATAGCGAATCACCGTAAAAAATGAAAAAAAAAATATTACTACGTAACGCTGAAACATATTAAACGAGTTACGGGAATAAAGCCCTACTCTGCGCGGGCGAGCCGAATTCCAAACGTATTTTTTAAACAATATAAACTGTAGTACGAATTCACATTAAAACGGATAATTTTGACAATTATTTTATGAAATGAAATATTTGAATATCTCATCGTTAACCGCGAATCTACAGCCGCAATAATAATTACGTACCGGCAATACTATCGCGGACGGACACGACTGGGATACGTCTAAACTCGTGTTTGGAAACCTGAATGTATACGTCATGACTGTTAAGTGTTTTATAGACAAGATATTAAGATAAATAAGTCAAAGTACCGTATTGATTGCGAAATATAATCGCCACGAATTCGAAAATAATTAACCGTCGTTTTACTTTCTTTTTTTTTTTGGGGGGGGAGGGGGTTAAATTTCATCCTCAAAAATATATTCTGTTTCGAACGGACTCGTATATGAGTTTTCGATACGCGGTCGAAACGGAGCTAGTATAAAATTTACCCAAATTGGTTGTTTTTTTATTTTATTTTTTTTAGGAGCTGAGGGGGATAGTAGCGAACCGTAAACCTGCACATTTTATTGTCCGTTGTAAAATTTGTGATCTGACTGGAGTACGTGGTCCGGGGAACCGCGAGGGGATAAAAATCCAACCAATTTCATAGAATTGCTAACTCGATGTACGAGTGTTCTGTCGAAAACACCATGATATACAGAGTGATTCGCTACTCGTACTCACCCAATTGTTTGGTTAAATTTTACATAATTTATTAAAATTCTGATTTTTGGAATTTTCAAGTGTAGCGGTAGAGTAGTGAAGTACTAATAAAACGCAACTCGTAATAGCGATTCGAATTCGTATTCGAAATATTCGTAATTCACTTGGAAATTATAATGTCGAAAAAACCATTGTACGAACATAGACAATATTTTTGACTTTAATAACAGACAAATATTGCACCCTGATGTTAAAACTAACAGCACACAATCGGTTTTCATACAGAAAAAAGTGTAAACATAATAAGATTTACCGTTTACGATTACATTTACATAGATAGTCCAAGTAATAGTAAAAACTGTCAACGCATTATGAAGTGAAATGGGACCCAGATTCCAGTAGTGCGGGAGCTGTGCCAATAGGTTCCCAAGCGTTCTCGGCTTCCCGCACAGATAATCTATGGCTGTTATCATAGTTATCGTATTTAATCAATGTACACGCGTATAGACACGTGTTTAATCGCGGAAACCGATTTCGGGGCCGACGCGGTCAAACGAAACGGACGGAAATACTCGCGGGTGCACTATCGTACATGCCGCGCGGCCCGTATTTTTAACGTAACACAGTCGAATTTTCAATGAGAGGAATAAATAAAAGTCGTGAGCAAATCGTAAAATCGTCTTCTCTACACAACACGAATTTTTTTTTTAAATTGGTAATTATTGTATCCAAAAAAAAAAAAAAAATCCAAATTTCTAATCAATACATGAAGCTTTCCCTCGTTACTTGACTGAAATGTAATAACCTATGCATTTCGATATTAGATTATTTACACATATTTTTTATCTATATCAAAGCCGATTGGTGGGGAAGGACATAACCAAACCTCCCCCCTGCGCACGTCACTGAACGGGACGACGGTGGCGATGATAATGATGACGACGCGTAGAGGTACCCGCGTACACATACTACGCGTGCGGCTGTATAGTGAATTAATCAACGGGGATTACTTACGAAACGCGTACCGTAGGTTTTATTGTTATTATTATTATTATTATTATTATTATTTTTTTTTTTTTTTTAATGCCTTTAATGGACGATTCGAGGAGAGTGACAAAAAAATATACATACATTTATTCGAGAGTGTTTTACTCGCGAATACTGTTGCGATTTCCACGACAATAATAAAATACGTTCGTATGAATATATTATGCGCGAATCGTCGTACGCGGCGCGAAAACAGTTCATTATGTCATAGAAAAAAAAAAAAAAGAAAAAAAAAAGAGAATATTTAGCGGAAAAAAATGACTGCTGCGAGTTTCCTTAGAGGCGAGATGAATGCTGTGACGGGGAGCGGAAAACACCTACGACTTACGCGCTGTTATTTCAGAACGATTTCAAAACGGAATCGTATACTGCACAAATGTGTTCCGCGAAAACGACCGAATCTGAAATGACTGGTTTTTTTTTTTTTTTATTGTAACCAGCCGCTAACAATCTTTGGATATTTTGTTCGAATAAAGTACCGCGAACGGTTCGCTGCGTGCGAAAAACCGGACGGTTGGGTTTTTAACAACCGAACACCGGTTAAAACACGTCTTTGTACGAGACCCGTGCGTGGTTTTTTCGCTATTGACCGACAATCTAAAAACGGAATTCCGAGTTTTACCGTTGAAAACAAAAAATTAATGATTCACGCGCCATCGCGTTTCCAAAACACGTCCAAATGAATAATACAGCGTCCGTACGCTTTGTTCGGGATACTGCTCGGAACGTCGACAATTTCCGGGCGCGTTTTGTCGACGTGCGGTTCGGACGACAACCGTCAGCGCGGTATTGTACACCGCGACAATAAACGCACGGCGGTAAACGTTCGACCGTCGCTGTGTTCGTAATCTTGGGAGAGTAGCAGTCGGCAGGCTAATACCAATTTGAAAAGACAATCATGTCTCCAGGAATAGCAAGTTGAGACTACTTAAGACACATACCTTCTCAGTGATGCTCTATGGATCCGAAACTTGGACACTTAGAGTAGAAGATGTAAAGCGCATACACGCCTTTGAGATGTGGGCCTACAGGCGGATGTTGAGAATTGCTTGGATGGAAAGGAGGATCAACTTCTCAATTCAGGCCGTGCTAAATGTGAAAACAAGACTGGCAGTAGTGTGTAAGCAGAGGATCCTAAGGTTCTTTGGCCACGTCATAAGAAGGGATGGATCGAGCCTGGAGAAACTGACGATTGAAGGAAAAATAGAAGGGAAAAGGAGCCGCGGGAGAACACCAATGCGTTGGATAGCCCAGATCAAAACCATCACTGGCTATCCGCCGGAAGAGGCCATTCGATCGGCAGAAAACCGTGAGCTTCGGAAAGAGATTGTTGCCGACGTCAATTGATGGGTCACCAAACTTCCGCTTTTGGAAGATGGACTTAAGAAGAAGAGTATTCGTAATCGTTCGGGTCGACGGCCAATCGGACTGCGAATCCGATGCGTTCCGGTGTTCCTCGGCAATCGCGTTAAAACAACAACGAATCAATACATTTTGCATGCATGCGACTGTTGGGCGGCGAACATTTTTTCCGGTCGGGCTCGACCTCCCGACCCGAAAGAACTCACCGAGCGAGTTTTCGGGTCGGGCGTTTCTAAGGCCTCCCCCCCACCCTCTTTAGACACGCGCGACCCTCGGTCCCCGTACGGACGGGCGGGATACGAAACGCACGCATAAACGAGATCTATTACCGATTTTACACGTTGGTTCCGTTATATTATCCGCTTTGACTTTGACGCATGACTAACGCATACACACGCGGACGCGCAGAGAAAACAAGAGATCCGTTTCGTCTCGGCGGCGCCGCAGTATACGCTCCCGGGTGTGCATTACGGGATAAGGGGGAGTTTGACCGGGAGAGGGGTCGCCAATCATTAATCTTAACGCCGATAAGGACAATATTATCGGCGACCGGATCGCGCAGACGACGATACAGGGACGGAGGGATGGGTTGGAGGGGGGGGGCGGGAAAACGGCGAGAGGAGGTATTTACATGCCGGCCGACGGTGGCGCGTCGGAAGAGGAGGCAGCGCTAATCGTCCGCGGCCTTTCTCGACAATAATAATATCGTAACGGTCGCGCACGCGAACCGTGTGTTTCATCTCCTTTTCGCATGCGCGCGCGTATATTCCGAGCGAAATTATAGCCACTATTATTGCCGGTTATTGTTTTTCATGCGAAATTTGTACCGGGAATATCGGACCCCGATCAGTCTGCATGCCGTCCACGGAGTCGTTGCACGTACGATTCACCGCCGCGGTCACCAACTGATATTACCGACCATTTTTGGTTACGGACCCGTATCATAGCGGCGACGAAGAAATTCATTTGACGCTCGGCCCGTGAGCTTGTGACTCGCACCCGCCTCCAACCGAACTGTCAAAAAGAGGTTCGAATGGAATTCGTACGCGGGTCGTAAGTATATAAAAAAGAAATCAAACGAGACTTCCGCTAGTAAAGCACGATTTTCAACGTGTTGTCGTATAATTTACAATTATTTCGGTTTCGCGAAACTGTTCGAAAATTTCATACAATGTCCAATGCACGTGTTCATCGTAAGTCGTGCTAAAAAAAAAAAAAACCATAGCAGAGTATAATATAATAATTATAAAAATATGTCGCAGTAGATTCTGAGCGTAGCTACAGAATTTCGATGCGTTTTAATTTCCTCGAAAAACACTTTTCCGATCAATATAAAGTATGTTTCGATTTTTTCACGCCGTACCTTAAAAATATGCGGATTTTCCGTTCAACCGTATTTTATGCGAAACGTTTTTTTTTTTTTTTATAGATTTTCGACGGATTTTTTGAATTAAAAAAAAAAAAAAAAAAAAAACTTTTATATCCCTACATAATATAACATCACACATTATTATTATTAACCGTTTGCCGGGTTTCGTTCAGAATCGTTTTTCAAGTGCGAAAATCCGTTTTCGCTTCACCGGCAAGCGCTAATCAATCGACCTGTCTACCCGCGGAATGTTCGACCGAGAGTAAAAAAAAAAGAAAGAAAAAAAGAAGAATCGAAATCACTACCGCGCTTACTCGCGATAATGATATTTCACGGCGACCCGCGGTGCGTTAATTGTGATTATGCGCGTACATTTTACGGACTTTATTATAATGTTTATGTTGATAGTAAAAATACATTGTCAAGCGAGACGGAGACGGAGACGGAGAGAGAGAGAGAGAGAAAGAGAAACGTTCCGCTGCGGCAGTAATTAGTGCGGCGGCGGCAGCGGCGGAAACGACGGAAAATTGAAATGTCATTTCGCCCGCGAAAAACTGCGCGATAATATTATTTTGACGCAATTAATCGTAATTTAATTCAAACGGGAAAAGGCACCGACGGACCGACCCGGCTCCCACCCCGAAACGAAACCGGAACGTCGTCGGCCGCGACGGCGTCGTCCGTAATTTTTATGCCCCGAGACGTCGCCGTCGCCGCCGCCGCCGCCGGGTTAATAATTTTCGATTTTATCCCGCCGGGTCCGCCGTTACCGGTGATAATATACTCGCGCGCTCCACCGGAGACGACCGCCGCCGTCGGGACGCCGTTTATTTTGTAATAATGCCGCGCGGGTTTCGCGCGCTCTTCATCGTCGTTTATCGTCGAATTCCTCCGCGCGCATTGCCGTCGCCGTCGCCGTTGTTATTATTACCGTCGCACAATAACGCGCGACAACAACAACAACAACAACAACAACAACGACGACGACGACGTAAATAATAACGTTTCGCGCGCTTATTGTAATAACGTAAATAAACAATTAAAAACCGCGGCGTCTTGTTCGGCGGCGCGCGCGACCGCACAATGGGCGCGAGCCCGCGGTAAACGGTTCAGCGATTAAAACGAGTCCGCGCCGCGGTATGACGACGGACCGCGTGGATAATTCGGTTCTAAAAAAAAAAAAAAACCCGCGGCTATAAAAGCGCGTACGTCCGGCGCCTTTTTATTTTTATTTTTTTTTTTTGCCACGGCCGACGTCGCGTAAATCGCCCGGATTCCGCGTCTGCGGTTACCGACACACGGTGCGACCGATTTCGAATGGTTTTACGAAAACGTGTGGATAAAACACGGAAAACGTAACGTCAACCGTATCGATGTCCACGAGCGAGATTCGCTCGACAAAGTCTTGTACGCGGTCCGATTCGGTGGGACGGCGTACGGGATTTTATAGGACGGGACGATACCCAGTTCTCCCGCGACCGATGAGGAATGTACCACGTGGCGATTACCGCGAACCGTAAAACACCGAAATCCGTAATCGAAACGCAATCGCCGCGCGCGTTTCATCATCGCCTAGCCGGATAGTTGCCGGGAGAAACGGGCTAGTGGCCGGTGCCGGGTGTACGTACGTTACTAGTTATTATTTGTTATTATCGGTTGTTATAATAATTCATACGCGGTAATGTGCGAATACGGCCGATCAAAACGGCCTATTACCGCGTATTATTGTTGTGTACGTCTGTAAAACGATTTAGAAAACCAATTGAACGAGCTGAATCATCACGAATATCGTTTAGTTCCGTAACGTTCGAGACGGATCAACTTACCGGGGTAACGTTATATTGTAGAAGAAAAAAAAAAAAAACGATTGATAAAAACCGGTCGCCCACGAGCTACTCGCCGCTGCTCGCCGCTCTCGGCGCTCGTCCGCGTTAGGAAACGGTTTGTGCGCAGTGTTGGAAATCGGCGATGCGTTTCGTTACCGGGTTCACACTGAATTCCCGTTCACCCGTTGTCGGACGATCGACAATATCGGTAGCCTGACCGCGGGTATTTCGAATCGCCCGGCAAAACGACGTTCCCGTGGTAGTTGTGCGCGGGAGGTCTGGAATTCGCGCGCGGCGGACGAGGGACGGGCCGACGCTGCCGCCGCGTACCGTGGTAGGGGGGGGGGAGAGGCGGGCGTCGATTCCGTATTACGGCCCGACGACGTTATCGCCGACTGTCGAACGTCGCGCGTGCCGGCCGCAGCGACCGGTGCACGCGATGGTAAAAACAGCGTTGTCGTAACGCGTCGCGGATACCGGTTCGCCTTTTTTTCGGCCGGCGATACCGGCGGCGCCGCCGCGAATCGAAAACCCCAATGTCCCGGTGCGTCACCGCCGATATTGTTAATAACGGTAACGGTCGACGGACGGGGACCGGGGTCGGGAGTCCAGTCGAGTATCGCGGGATTTTCGCCGGGCGGGCGGACGCGTCGCGCGAGACGATTACAATCCGGCCGGTCGGACGGCGCGCGGGCCGTTTTGACGCGCGTCCGCTTTCGGCTCGGAACATAGGCGAACGAGTAGAGACCGAGTCCCCGGGACGAAACGAAAACCGGCCGTTCGTAAATAAATACTAATAAGCCGCGAACGACGCGCCGACGCCGCCGTCGTTTGCGTTCGGGGCGGCGGCGACGGGATTCACGTGCCGCGCCGCGCTTCGGACGCGCGCACGAACACGCGAAAAGTTTTCCGGGTCTTTCCGAAAACCGCGTGCGCGGTTCTTTTTTTCGCCGCGTTCCCGATCAAACAACGAAGCGCTCGGTGCCGGTGGAATCCGCGAGATCCGACCGAAAAACACGTACGGTACTCTCGCCTCTCCGTACGCGTTCCGCAAGTATATTACACACACCGTATATAGTCGAAACAGCGTAACTCCTGTGCGGAAACACGCGCACGTACCGCCACTCGTAATCGGGACCTCGGCGTTTCCGTTTGGGCGTGTCGATTTCGAGTAGATCGTATATTGAAAGCTCACGATAAATCAACGCAATCAAAACGCGAATCTCAGCGGAACTCGGCAAACCGATAAGGTTGTGGTAACGTGTTATTCCAATTTTTTCCGAGTGGCCAAAAATGAATCCGGAAATCAACAAAAATAATCACTATTCACTGTTGGGTTTTTATTATTATTATTGGTTTTTTTTTTTTTTTTTTTTTTTTTTAAATACTGTTGAGAATTTAGAACAATTAATCGAATAGAGTGCGCAGAGAGATGTAAACGATTTCGAGGAGTAATTACTCGAGTATACGATAAACAGTTACCGAAAACTTTTTTCGTCAGTGATGCGAAAAAGAGATAAATCCTATTAAAACTATCCGCGTAACAGCAGACGTTTTCCTCGAACGTTAATCAGTGATTGTAAAAATGACTCAACTACGGTGCCAGTCAGAAAAGTATCTATTTTGAAAATTCGCGTCACTCCGATTTTCACATTATACTACAGAACAGGCGCACGTTTCTGATTACATACCTATAGAAAATGAATATAATATTATTTATGTTGAGTTCTGGTTTCTAACTATTTCGTTGCCGATTTGACAATAATTGCTAGATAAACTTCCAATCGAAAATTTTAAATCGGTCAATACATTTCGATATGTCTGAGAACGCGGTAAAATTGTAAGCCGAATATAAAAAAAAATCAAACAAATAATACAAATTTAAAATGTCCATACATTTCTTCTCGGAAAGTTCTCGATTATAAAATTTCGGAAATTTCATATTACCATACAGCGGTAGAGACATCGTAAAATATTCGGATTCCCCGAAAACTGTAATGCTAACTAAACGGTAATACTATAACGTCTGATACGGTGTAACACCTGTATACGTGATCGAGTTTGCCCTGCAGTTTTCGAAATGTAAGGCGGGCAAAATCGTTTAGCAATATAATAACAACGATAACTGTATACGCGTGTTGCATACTAAAAGTACGGACGTGTATACAAGGCGTGGACATCACCGTCGAGTCCGCCCGATATAAATTATATCGTTATCATATTGTAACGTTTATAATCGAATAATAATTTAAAAAGCGTACAATATTTTCTCGAGGGGAAAATGCGCGCGAATAAAATTATTATTATATCTTTCACTTTATTAATTTACGGCGGAAAAGGGGAAATACTCGGGCGCATTACCACTCGTTTATCTCTCATATTTCTTCTCTTTAGCTCTCGCTGCACTAATATTGTTTAGACTTTACGAAGTTGTTAAGAGTTACGTGCACTTTTCGTAATGAAATTAGGAAAACACACAGAACTATAGTCGTAAATATACTCGGGAGAGAAAAAAAAAATAAATAAAAATAAATGTAAACTGTTTGTTTTAATTAGTTCTAAAACGTTATCAGACATTATAGAAGTATGTATATATTATTTTTATTTTTTTATAGTCGCGAATCTAGTTTAAAACCGAAATCGTAATTTAACGTGGTATGCGCGCGACAATATAATTATGTTATTTGCGCAAACGCCGAATGTTTCAAAGTACTTTTCGTAACTGCTTTATTGCGAAATTGTACTTTTGTATTATTATTGTTATTATGTAATTCACTTCGGATAGGTATACAGCTCTAACGTTTCCGCTGCAGCGTACCTATTAAATAAATACTCGGGGTACCTATCTCTGTAAATTGATACCGCGCTATACGCGTAACGTTTTTCTCTGATTACTTTTCGCGGATCTCGCGGAACGTCCTCGATGTTTAACGACTCTAGGCGAATAGCTCTTGAATAAAAAAATAAAGCCCAAGTAAAATAATATATTATTACAGAATATTAACGTACGGTGATAGTGTCTCGCGGTTTAGACGCCGAGTGATGACCCCTTCGTTTTTTGCAATAAAATCTTGACGCGGAGCGTGGCACCGTGCAAAGCCGAAACGCACACGGTCCAGCTCGCCGCGAACCGCGCGGAACCAGTGGGTTAGTCGTGGCACGCAGATGCGCGTACGAAGTCACTACGGAACACGTGTCCATAAAGAGAATGCAGAAAGGAGTGGATCTGACATTAAGCGACCGAGGGCGCCGAAATAAGTACGGCGTATTAGGCTGAGTTTGAAATTACCATTAACTACACGGATAGAAAAAAAAAAAAAAAGAAGGATATGCTTCGAACGTGGGTGCGGCCACTGTTATGGGTGGGAAGTTTGGAAGGTAGGACCCAGACGGGAATTTAATGCATATGTGCAAGCAACGATAAACCGTTGCTTACGAGAAAATGATTCTAAGCGAAGTTCAGTCGATAGCGTTGCTTCGTCAACAATATATATATATATATATATGTATAATACGCCGCGTATTATGGTAAAATGATTACAGTATGCGTTTTCATGACGACAAAAAAATATTAAAATAACAAAAAATAAAAAAATCGGTTGTCAATGACAATGACTTATTTTCAATCGTTCAATCTTTTTTTCAACCTAAAGAACGTTTTCCTCATTGTCTCGAATATTAACGAAGATTTTAAAAATGACGTTTCTAAAGTACCACCCAGAGAACATTTCCTTTCAGAAAATGTGTTATATTTGATAATCGGAGAAAGCTTTCTGGTGGGAAAAGTTTTAACATAAAAAAAAAATTAACATCATTGTCAGACCAATTCATTCCTCACTCCCCTCAGAATATAAAAATAATATTTCGTCGTCGTGACAATGCGGAGCAAAAACGAGTAAACACGTAAAAAATAACACGGATTTTGAGAAAATTCGCTCGTGGATTTCGCACTCTCGCGTGCTGGCGAATCCTCGAAATCAATTATTGTTATTATTATTATGAAATTCCGTATTGTCTGGCGGTTCGTTAATGTTTTATTTTTTTGTTTCAACAAAACCGCGTTCTTATATTATAATCGCATTATACTCGATGCGTCGACGCACATATCGTAATGCTAAATGATATGATCGGATTGAACAAACACATACTGACGCACGCGTATTACAATGATTTGCATAATGCACTTTACTGCAATTTACTTATCCGACGCCGAAACGGCTTCTATGGCCAAAATGAACTTGTATCAATCGTACGCGCATAGATTATTAAAATCGTTTTCATCGCATATTGTATACAAGTACAATAAAATGGCGCATACGAACGTTTCTACTTGGCTACCCTATTTGTTAATTATTATAGTACACTCCACGGAAAACAGATTTATCGACGATGTAAATATTATTTAACCGGAATATAGCGCCATAATGAATTTCCCGGAGAAAAAACACGTGAGACGACACACACACACACACACACACACAACTCGAAATGTACATCGACACGAGCGACGGAGAAGCCGGTTACTTTGAAAAACAAACAATTCTTATTATGCTTTGGTTGAACCTTTATTTACCGTAACAACAATATCGATATTCTCAATTGAATAGGAGATAATCTACTCGGAATGTTTTTTGAAATTTTCTCGTTTCCCAAACACACATAGGTTCGTAGTTGCATTCTGCGTTTCTATTAAGATTCTTACATAGATACCGTACAAATTTCAAAATGTTTCATTGAATTCCGGAATTAAAATTCCAGTTGGATCTTTAAATTCGTTATCCTGAAAAGTAGAACGAAAAATTATTCAATGTGCGTTTTTGGTTGCGACGTGTTCAATTGCGTTAAAATTAAAATGAAATCGGGGACAGTTCGAATTTCTGTTCAGATTCTGAGTGGACCGAGGAATGTATTGATTTTACAATGATGTTAATTTTCCTACCAGAAAGCGTAATATTCCGATTTTCAAATATATCATTTTTTTCTGAAAGAAAATGTTCTCTTGATGGTACTTTAAAGAGTTCATTTTTGGAAATTTTCATGAATATTCGAGATAACGAGAAAAATCTAGGTCTTTAAATTAAAAAAGATTGAAAGATTAAAAATAAGGCGGTCATTGGAAACTGTTTTTATTTATTTTTCGTTATTATTAGGTTTTCATCGTTTTAATAATCTTTTATAAACAATCACCGTTGTCATGGAAACGCGCATTGTTGTAAACATTTTACAATAATATGACATATATATTATTCAACAACTATCATTTGAACACCGTTCAGAATCGTTTAGTCGTTAAGAACGGTTTGTCGTTGCTTGCAGATTCCCGTCTGGATCCTACCTTCCCAACTTCCTATCTACTACAGTGGCTGCACCCACGTGCGTTGTAAGTCCGTCTTTTTTATTGTTTATTTGTTTCAAAGATTATTATTTTGCAGTAATATATATATACAGTGTACAATTTTATTTACGATTTTATTTTTGTTTTCGAACACCGCGTGTGAATATCTGCAGGATTTCGTTGTGAGGGATTTACCCCCACGGTTACTGCAGGATCAGAAAACGCCGCTCGAATAGAAAATAAAATATTGTCAACGGGAAGCCGGTGACGTTGAAAATGCATGTTTTATTTTTTTATTATTATTATTATTATTTTATTATTTTTTTTGTCGCTTTTACGGAGCGTTCGTCGTGAAATATTCGATTATTTTACATTGTAATAAAACAGAGACAAAAAAAAAAAAAAAAAACGTGATTAAAAAGACGATATAATATGGTATATTGATCCCTCACCACCACCCCGATAACGCAATAATAACAGGATAACGACGTCGAAATTAAATCGTTCGTCCGTTTTACGCGTAATCGATGAAAAAATAAATTAACGCAAACTGCAGTGCAATGATATCAAATGAAAAACGTCGTAAAATTTAATTGGACTGGACTATTATTGTTAATTGTGCACGAATAATCAAATCAATCATATAATAACGTGAGTTGTAGCCAATCAATTATTGTAATAAGTACTGAAAAAACGGCAGTAATAACCCACCGCCTCAGCCGTTCGATAAAAATCTAAAAGCCAGATTTATTTACCAATTTCCTATTTATCAGAATATGTACACGCGTGGCAACGTACGTTTAAACTTTCGGACACAACAATAATTCGAATACGGAAATATTATCAGACCCAGATGAGTGATGTCTATTTAAGAAACTGTTGAATCGATACGGGACGAACGGAAAAGAAAACGGCCCAATATTGTCCAGTGGCGTAACTATAACTTATAATAACCATAGCGAAACATTCTAGATCAACCGAATTGAGAACCAAGTGCATAATCCGAGTTTGGGGCGAAATTCACACAATTTTCGGAGCAAAAGAAAAAAAAATCATTGCCTATTTTCACGCTCCCGTCCGTCCATTCATATAAAAAAAAATCGTAGTATTTTTTTTTTGTATTAATTTATAATGCCTTCAGCCCTGATTTGGGCCGCTTAGATTTTATGGGCACGTCGCGCGTCACGCAACCCTATCGATACGCCACTGATATTCTCCGATTCGGAGAGCGTTCTCCGAAAATAGATTATTAAGGCACGGGCTGTTTTACGTCACTTCGTAAAAAACCGGACCCGATGCATCACAATCGAAATCGCGAATTGTTTAAAACCCAAATTATCATTAATTGTCATAACAATCAAATTAGCTAATTATCGGAATTATCACACCCATTATCGCCACTAATGTCACATACATAGGTACATTCGCAATATTATAAAAAACCGTGACCTCTCGACAATGTGCGCTGTCGCCGGTGCGGCCCGTCACTCACGTCGCGCATCTGTATTAGCGAAATGTCTCGAGAATAATGAAATCGCGGTGACGGGCAACACGTTACACGCGTTATACCGGATCGAATATCGCGATGTGCCCGTTCGGTAAGTACCCGAAAGGTGGGTAAATGTTTTGGTAAATTTGTCGGGTTAGGTAAAATTCGGGAAAATTATTTTTCTCCAATCATGGACATGGCTTTTCAACGAAAAAAAGAACAAATGGAGACCGATTGTAATGAAACAGTTTTATAATATATATATAAAAAAAAGGCGTTCTGCAATGTATATTGGAGTCTCAAAATGAATTAATTATATAATAATAATATTACTCTGATTTAATGTAATTAATATAAGTTAATTGAGTTTATCTACTGTCTCAATCCAACTACCGGGTAACATGCAAAAACAATGCTTACGGAGATTAATTAAAACTAGCTTAATTTTGATTTTAGAGTAAATGTACCTATTATATGAAATGTATAGAGAACAATATTTTGGAGGAAGTGTCAAAAGGGTGTTTTGAATTATGAAATATTTAAAAAGTTATAATTATTTAAAAAATAAAACAAAAAATATGAAAATCAAAGAGGATATATTTTTTCCAAATTTTAAAAATGTTCTTGATAGTAAAAATTTTGCTAGTATACCTGCAACAAACTGTAATTATGAAAGGATTTTTTCTAAATAAACTATAGGAAAGACCGGAATCCATTTTGTTATTTCGTAACAGTATTTAATTGACATTCTGATGAAAACAATTAAGTGTCGAGTTCAAAATTATTAACGAGAAAGAGCGCATAGATTATTTGTTATAAGTTTATAAATTTTGATATCGCCATTTTCGTCTATGATAAATGACACGGTAATACTATCTCGAATTCGGGGTTTTTACGATCTGCCCGGTTTTTGGCATCAACTGTGTGGCAATCTATGTATTGTCTATGCTCGTGGTTACTCGGTCAAGTCGATTTCTGACAGGAACAAAGAAGATATGGACTGGACATGACGGGCGGTCGGTGCGGGCAAAATCGGAAACTTTTGCCATGGTCCGTTCTACGCGCATTTGCAATTGGTGTGCCTGTTGCGGATGACTTCCATAAACACAAAATAAGCCGGAACGGAGTATCGGCGATTTAAAAAGGCGGAAAAGAATTTCTTCCGGCGGTAATCATTTAACATTGATGTTTAATAATAAAACATTTATAATATTTCTGGTTAGTTAGTATTATACAGTTTAATATATTCTTCACACTTCGGGCAGTTTTAGGACGTCACATTTTTACGTAAAGAAGGCGAGTGGCAAGCGGTGACTTATTCCTTAGACCCGTTTTTGGTCGTTCGAGTCCGTATCGCGTCGAGTCCGCGGTTCCCGTAATACATCATCGCATTAACCGCATCTTAACGTACGGCCACCAGACTCCCATGATATATCACTATCATATACACATAAATTTATTAGAGCCGAGTCGGTTTAGAAATGGTTTGGTCAAAATATTCGTAATACATAGTAGTCGTTACCTCCATCTACTTATTTAGCTACGAGCATACTCCGCCACTCCACTCAAACGTTCGTTATCGAAATTTATTACCATTGAATATATTGTAATTGTACTCATTTTGTCATTTTTTTTAATTTTCGAGTGTCACACTAAAATCTACCCCCGACACGAGTATAGCGGGTCATATATTGCGTACTAACGCATTAGCCAACTCTCGAATAAATAATTGCAGAGTTCACCGACCCCCAGACCGAATGCGCCCCATACCGGACACCCCACGACGGGCGGGTACCCAGGTATCCGACATTGATAATAAAATCACGTGTGCGAAATTGTATTTTTTTTTCTCCGAGGCGTATATTATTATAATATAATATATACGTGATTCGGGCGCGTCACTGTCAGCCCGAGTGATTTTATTTCGGAGTAAGTTTTTTCGGGAACAATTTTCTACCGCCGCCGCAACTGCCGCTGCAGCATCCGCGCTCGAGTTTACCGTTTCAGGACACGTCTTCGCGCGCGCGGCAAATCAAATCAAAATACCGACGTATACACAATTTCTCCGCGACCACCCCTCACCCCCGAACAATCCCCGTCCGCCGGTATTTTTTTTTTTCACGCGAACCCCTTCCACGCCTCCGTTTTTCCATCCCGTTTACTCGTAGGTACCTCTATATTATATACTATATATATATATATCTCCGATACCGCCTTCTCGTATATTTTTATCGTAATACAATATTTTTGTGGCAGAAGAATATTATCTTATAGTTATATATACGTATGCGGCGGCGGCGACTCGTCCCGCCACCATCTGTCGGCGGGGCCCCGCGCCGTTCACCCGGAAAATCTCTGGCATCAATTCAAAAATACATAAACGACCAAAGTTTCGTCGCGCCGAGAGAGTTTATCTTTTAATTGTTTTTCACAGCTTGCCGTCGTCGTCGTCGTCGGAGGCGCGCGAGAGACATTAAAACGAACGAGAGAAAAAAAATCTAATATTTTATACTATTATATAAAACAAGCGCACCGAAAATATATCTATAACGTTTTACACCCGCAGCGCGCCCGCGGTGAATTACGGACGCGGTTCCGCTGAAAAATATATTATACACGGCGAACGCTGCAGCGAGCGCTGCGAAATCGGCTCGGTCGTCGCAAAATACCAAAGTCGAAACCAGAGGTCCGGTGCTCCTTGAAATCGCCATTCGAATCTGTAAAACCACGTAAAACAAATCCGTGTACGCTTGTAATTATGCACGTTTTCACCATTGACGGTTCCAGGTTGTTCGCCCTCCTTCCCCATTTGGCCTTTGTGCATTTGTACATATATTCATATAGTGACTGTTATGAGTTGTGTGCTTTTATTCATTCCGCGATGGATACCCATACCATCACGCTTCTTTAGTGATGTCTCATCGTGGCATTGTCGTTCGTCGAAATACTTAATGAACTCACTTCTTCCCGGACGATAAGATAAAAAAAATAGCTACATAATTACATAGTGACTACATAGTACCGCGTCGAATTAATTCTAATGTCCCTAAAAATGGGAAGAGGGAAGTGACATTTAAAATGTGCAAACTATTTTCCTTTCTCCTCTTAGAGCTTGTCGAGAGTCGCCCCCGGTTTACACGTGTATTCGCGTAACGCTAACACACGTCATCACGGATAGTAAGAGCACGACTTGTATACTTGAAAACATGGTTTTCATTGGCGTGTTTGCGTACGTAATGATTCGCGTCTTTAATCGATGCCTCTTGTCGAAATCGTACAAATTATTATTAATATATTTCGGTATTTCGGATCGTAGTGCCGTGCCAGTATTCGGCTGTAGCATATAAAAACAACGGTACCGACATCGAATCGAATCAAAAATGTGTCACTCGAGAACGTCGTGATTATTATTTATTCTTTTTCTATCATCGGCATTGAATATCGCGGTATACAGCGGCAGTTTGCGATTCTTCTGTTTGTATGTAGAAAAAAAAACGCGTCGTATGGCGGTTATACTGTCGGACCGATAAAACGGCACGAATCGCTCGGGGGATTCAATTCAATAATAATATGTCTCTTCGGATCGCTGTTCGGGCACGATAAGAGACGAAAGGCAAACCGAGCATTTGTGGACGATAGACGGATGCTTTCGGGGAAAAAAAGTGCAGATCCGAACGCGTTACGTGAAACTTTGCGGATACTGTGTCGAAGCAGGTTTGACGCGCTATAACACCCGGAAGTTCGGTGATTGTCGGTGCTGCCGACGAGTTTGCCACTGTTTTAGGCGGAAAGTCAGAAAGGAGCATGATATCGCCGTGAACGTAGTATGATTTCGAGCGAAAAGTTTGGTGAATCGCGTTTTAAGATTCCGTTCTTACGCTGATTTCCGTGGAGATTTCATTCTTCAATAATTTATATAAAATAACACGTCCTGGCTGATTCACCATCGCCTGTCCCAAATCATTGGACGGGTCAAGCTGAATACAGTTAGCTTTTATGGCGTGGGCATTCGCCAGGAGAGGATTTTTGAAAATTCAATATCTAATAGGGTAAAATAAGGGTTTCTTTTTAGGTATTTTCGGGTCGAATATTCAATTGTTTATTTATTTATTTTGGTTTATTCGTGGGTCACCTTGGTTACACGAATAACAATTCGGTTGTTACGGGCAAGATAACTACTATTATGATTATTATTATTATTACTATTATTTACACCATCATATAGCAATAGCAATACATTGCTGGGTCAGCTAGTTATTTATGTCGGCGAACTAAAGACAAACCACTATAGAGCATCTGTTGCACCGGAAAATTAATTGATTTTAAACTATTTTAAACTAATATACGATTTAGCGACCAGTGTACGTTTACGCACCTAATGTTTTTTGATTTTGCTATACCATTTTATACCGGAAGTAAGCGTTTTATTAGACATTTGATTTATCGATTCTAATGTGATGATAAAATTAATAAAAAATAAATATCCATTATCAATTGAAGTTAAATATATTTTATATTTGTGTATAATATTTAATGTAAAATCGTTGCTGAAGAAATACAATTAATATGATCAATGGAAAACGATTCTAAACGGAACTCGGTTAAACATGTTTTGAAATACTTACGGTTATTTTTACGATTTTCATCAAAATTTAAACATCAACGGTATACAAAAAAAAAAAAAAAAAACTCACGATATTTCTAAAAATTACGGCATTTCAAAACATTTTTAACCGAACTCATTACATACAGATATAAGTTAAAAAACTTTATGAATACTACTTTCCTCATTTCGTACCCAGACAAGTGTTATACCCAACAGCAGTATCAGCTTTTTTTTTATATTAATAAAATTGTTTGGCCGAACAGAAATGCTTGAAAAGACCAAACGTGTGTGACGGCGGTAAAACATTCTGTACAAAACCCCACTCGAGACGTCCGCTGCCGTTGAGAGTGGCGTTTGAGCGGATTAAAATAAGTATATTATTAATTGTCGTCACGGTCTCACTGAGGCTTTTTATTTTATTTATACACTGTAATCGTTTTATCAGGTCAATCACTAAATCAGGTCATTTTTTAATAAATACTCACTGGTTTTCCACTCCCCATAGAAACACCGAAACTTTTTTTTAACTTCTCGACTTTTCCCAGTTACCACTCATCCCACCAATGGAAATATTTCCTACATAGAATATAATAGTTTGTATCAAAATACATAAATACAATAATTAATCATTTATTTTCTAGTCACACACAATTAAGTAAAATTTAACTCTACTGAGTGTCCACTAAACTTTATTGTTTTGTACAACTTGTTTATTTGGACACATAAATCATTCTAAAAAAAATGCATAATTATTTAAAAACAATACCAGAATAGAATATCATCCCTATTGTTTTAAAGCAAATTTAACCAATCCAATTGTTTTCTCTCTCAAAAATCGACAAAGACAGCTATCTAAACGAAAAATACGATTCCTGTTTTTTGGTTTTTCAATAACAATTTAAAACGTAGGCACAATATGTCATTGTGCAAATATAGTTTTCCCAGATAAAGAAAACCCCTTGAAAACGACTTCAGTAAAGTGCCACATCATCGAAATTTGCTTTTAGGAAAAGTGCTATATTTGAAAATCACAGCAGTTTCCGGTGGAAAAGTTCTTCACCAAAAAAAAAATAATCATCAATCAATAATCAATACAATAATCATTGTAAAAGCAGTACATTTTTTGCGTTTCATTCAGAATCTAAAATGTAAGTTTTATCGTGCACAGCGCTTGTAAACATGTTGGTAATTGGCTCGAAACCAAATGCGTGTATTTTCGTAGGTTCGGTCAATCGTCACCTTTCGAAACTCAAATTCATATTCAAGGTCAGTCAATTAGACTTCAAATTTCAGCTTCTCACCAAAAATTCAGATTATCGGTACAGTTATTGGTGGTCGATGATAAATTTTATGTTTGAAACTCCCTTTCGAAAAAAAAAAAAATCAAAATTAAATGCCTGTTCAAGGTCGAAATTCGTATAGTTTTTCGGGAAAAACGGTCGGTTTATTTACACGCGAGCGAATTATTTTCTATTACTGTTCTAATATGACTGCTTTTCGAGTTGATTACATGCAAACAATACGACAACGACGGCGACAGAATCGCACTTGAGCGGTAACGACGAGACGACCGCGAGGATGACGAGAGTCCGCGGAGAAAATGCTTTCGAAACGGCCCGCGGGGCTTCGAGTTCGCGCGGCCGGTAGACGAGCAGAAACGTCGAGTGGCACTTGGCGAGCGACACGTTTCGCACGACCCCGCGGCCGATGTGCATAATATGTGTCCCTGCCCCCCGAAAAGAAATTTTCTCCGAAGTCTGACCGGATATACAGAGTTCATGGAAATGTGTGTGTGTGTGTGTGTGTGTTTTTTTTTTGAGTTTAATGTCTCGTGAAATAATAACCCTCCGAAATGTGAATTTGATTTAACGTCTCAAACGTTCGGATTTTCGAAATCAAATGCACACATGGAATATTAGGAAAGCTCAGGACGCCAACATTGCGGCTAAAACGGCATCACACCGAACGGTTTTAATAGTCAAAATCTGGATCGAAAAAAAATTTGGCCGTGCTTTGCTGTTCCGAATACGGCCATTTCTCAGATCTTACCGATTGCGTTTACGTTCCAGATTTTCACCACTTCGTACGACACCGTTCCAGACAATATGCGAACTAGGTATTTATACTATTTCGGGACACGATTAGCCGGGCGTAGAGCAATTTAGTAAAACTCGCGTCCCGGAGCATCGCAATGTCGTACGTGTGTTAGAGTTGGCCCCTACACTTTACGTAACAAAACTTCCAAATTATATGTAACCCGATCGTTTTCGATTCGCATAACTAATTGTAACGGGGTTTTTCAAATGTGTACATCGTTATATCGTTCAAAAATTTAAAACTGGTTTATCAACGGGCGACCCGTGATCCCGTCCTACACACACACTAACCGAATCGATAGAAACGTATTGTTTTCCCTTCAGCTTGTTACCTCATCGCTGTACACCCGGGTTATGAGATATTTTTAAACGGGGGTGGGAACGTGTTGCACCAGCCTCCCACCCCCTCGCCCCTCGCCAATTGAACTAACTCGAAAACATTTGTAAAATGGTGGAGGAGGGCGAAACGAAAAAGCCGTTACAACCGTCGCGCGTATCGTATTTTATCGGCCGCGCGCGGCGTGCGCTTTACGGACAGATTAGCCGCCGTCAATACGGACGGACCGCGCGCGACGCGAATACACAAGTGCCGGTACAGTACAACGCGCGGCACGCGGTATGCAAATAATCCTCGTCCTTTCCGGAGATTTCGGTTTCCGTATAATATTATTTATTATATCGCGTGTACAGCGCTGTTGTAATGTATACGCGGCGCGAGCGCAGGTATAGGTCACTTTCCCGCGGGAAGGAAAAGGCCGGGGGGCGAATAAAAAAAAAAAAAAAAAAAACCAAGAAAAAGAGAAAGACCGGCACGCGAATTCGCCGCGACGGAAACACACACACACACACACACACACACGCACATACGGTTAGGTGCGCGTATATTTGATACGGGCTTTTGTGTATGTACGGCCGGCGATCGAAATCGGAAGAGAAAAAAAAAACGCCCCGAGTCGGACGCGCCGGAGTCCGAAACGGGTTGCCGCGGGTCGCCCCGCGTGTTACTGTGCGTGTACGGGACCTTTTGTTGCGCGTCTATAACACGCCGCGTACGATAAAACCGTTTCAAATCGAATCCGCCGCGTACGAACGTAATGGGAATAAACAATGCGAACAACGGCTCTCGGTACCCGCCTGCGCGTACCGGGCCAGTATGACGCGCGCGCGGAAGAACTTTTGCCCGGACCCGGAAAACGACGACGTCTCTCGTTTAAACACCCGCCGCCGCCGCCGCCGAGTAACGGAACGCCCGTGTTACACGTGCGCAACGCGCGTAGCGGCGTTTCGACGGATTTCAAATTTTCCCGTTCGGGTACGCGGCGCGAGCGTTTGCCGTTGCCCGGTGCCGTCCGACCGCGCACGGCGCCCGGTTCGTCGGCGACCGCCGTCGTACCACCAACGGGTCGCCCCCTTCCTCCGGGCTCTCCGCCGCCGTCGCCCGGCGAGCCCGTCACCCGGACGTACAATAGTCCGAACACCACCGGAACGTGGCCCGCCGACACACCGCTCGCTTCTCCCCGGTTCGGATACCGTCCGACAACGACGCGCTCTTAACGTCGGTCCGACTCCGCGTTCAACTACACCGGCGTGCGCTTCCGGCCGTCTGCCGGAAACGGTCGTTTTGCACGGCGCGGCCGCGATTCTGACGTGCTCGGCGGACGGGGTACGGGGGGAAAAGGAAAATCCGCGAAGACGTTCGCCTGGTGATATGACGCGAACGAACTTATTGTACCGGGCAGTTCGCCGTACGGACAGAGAAGCGTAGGGATCCCTGATTTCCCACCTACGCGTGACAATTACGGTTAACCGTCGCTAACGGAAAACGGTTCTCAGTGGAGTTCGATAAACGGCGTTGGTCTGTCAACGCCATTCGCGTCGTACAGAAACGGTGAAATAATCGCGTAATGCACAGAATACGTACATTTTCTTTGATAACATTTGTTTGGGTATTGTACCGATTTTTCCGGTTTTCCTGCGGGTTTCCCCGGGTTTTTCCGTTTTGTTACGAAAACAGCTGGGAAAATCGACATCTTTAAAGTACCGTCCCGGTCGGATTTCCTTTCAAAAAAAGTGATTTAGTTTTAAACCGCCGGTAGAAAAGTTGTTCACGGAAAAACAAAATTAAACGTCATTGTAAAACCGCTCGGCTCAGAATCTAAAATTGAAAACCGAAACAGGCGCATAAATAATAGTTTCGGAAAACCGTATACATTCTAGTTTCGAACACAGGAGCGCGGAAAACTTTTAACGTTACTTATTTAAATTTAAAAAATTAAAAACCTTTACATTATATACACAAATAATGAGTTTTCCATTTTTTTTTTTTTTTTTTCTCTTTCCCTCGTTCATATTTTATGCATATTGAATATACCACAATATATAATATAGAATAATAAACACACACACCGACACAAAGCTATTATTTTCATATTATTTATTTTATTATTATTATTATTATTATTTTTTTTTTTTTTTTTTTTTTTTTTTGTTGCATCCCATATCCATCATCCTGCGTACGTGAAAAGCGAATAACAACAGATGTGCAAATTAAAAGACCATTTTTCACGTCGTCGTATACCCATCATCCAATATCGGTTAGCGATATAAAACGACGCGCACGCTGATGATGCCCCGCAGTACGGCGCGAAAAATAATATAATATAATCCGAGTTCAACTTTGTGAACGGACCGCTCGGCGTAGGGTCCGTATAAATAAAAACGCGTACATCTTTTTTTAATGAAGTTACGCGAATTTATTTAAAAAAAAAAAAAAAAAAACTCTGGGAAATCACAAGTGCCTGCCGCCGCCGTCGCGACTCGTGTATAGTAATCATGCAAAGACGAACTTTTAAGGGCCTACTCGCTGCAGTGTGTCGACTGTCGTCAAAACTTTCAGACATTTTTGTAAAACACTTAACGTCGTGCTTACGCACGACGAACTCTGTGCACTAAAGCTTATTTTGTTTGAATTATTATTATCACATTATACATACGAATAAAATCGAAACGCACCTGTCTAACTTTACAATGTTCCCCGTACAATAATACGTACCTAACTGCAGTACGAACTTGCCAATAAGACGAAACGTCGAAACACCTTGAAACGTCGGTGAATCATGTTTTTTCACGAGTTTTTTGATTTTCGTTCAATTTGCTTTTAAATAAATTTCCAACCCAGAAGAACGATAACAACATTACGATAATTTAGGCTCAATTCGTTTTTTACAACAGCCGATTATATATTTCATTTACGATTTTGCATACACTACGAATGTGGTTATTTTTCATACACGCCACGCATTGTCTGTAGAAAATCGTGTATTGTGTTCTGCTCGTTAATTATAAACTACACGGTTAAAAAAGTTTGTCGTTTCTATGGAAAAGATGAGTGGGTTTTTTGGGGAGGTAGTCGTTTTGAACTCGGTGGGTGTTTTATACCGTCCAACAACCCTCCAGTTGCACCCGCGGATGTGCTACGGACATCGCGACATTGACATTACTCCGAAGACAACGCAGGCAGGTAGGTATCTGTACTTGTTCGCGCGTAAATACGCACCGCGAGCCTTATTACGATACACAAACTTATGGGACGCACTGTGCACAAACTGCCGTCGAACCGAATAGGTGTATTTTTATACAGCTTATTGACGCTCGCCGATCGGTACCGAGAGAGGGCGACATCCCCTTTTAACCCCCTTTAGCTTTGGGTTACCGCCACCGCTCCGCCCGAACCCTCGCCGACGTCGCAAATATTTCCCCTCGACGCGCGACGGCGTGCACATCATATTAAATTAGTATCTACACTCTATATTATATACGACGAATTTTCTTGTCTTCTCCCTCTCTTTTTCAAGTTTCCAATCTTTCGGTATGTGTACAGGGTGTCCTTACACGGATTTTCGTATCCCTGTTAATATTCGATATTTTTTTTTTGAAATTCCCATTCAGATTTCGTGTCAGGCACGTCATACGGAAACAAATTTAATTTTTATTTTCTACCCCTAATCACTAAAAAATAATACGATCACTCGTTTTGGTTCATTTCTGTTTAAAAATTTCAAAATAGCCATTTTGTAATAAATGTTATCCCAAACATTTTACCGAGCCATACTTACGTTCACACCCGATCAATATATTTCCTTAACAATAATCGTTTAAATGTCTAACATTTTACAATGTAATCTGACTTACACAGTTAAATGAAAATCCGATTTTTGTATTAACAATCGACAGTTTCATTACGGTTGTGATATCTTAATGTGGTATTTTATTGAATACAATTTTCTCACGCCTGTTGCTCGCATATGCATGTTAAATCAAAATATTTTTATTTGTGTTTATCGGCTATTTTGAAAAGTTCGCAAAGTAATTTCTATTTTTAGCGATCAAAGCGTGATAATAACAAATATATAATCTTACACTAAATATTATATGTCTCCGTAAAAGAAAATCATATTGAAAAAAACAAAATTGAATATCAACAATGATATAAAAATCCGTATAACACGGTGGGACACCCTGTATATAGTCTATACAAATATTGCGAAAACAAACGTAACGACAAATGCACGAGCTGGTCGTATTATTATTGCACTTTTTACTTGAACGGCCGAACTGCACTCGGATGAAAAACAATAAGAAATAGACGAACTGCAGTGGGTTGAAAAATTAAACGCTTTTGAAAACACCAATTTTCCTGCCCGCTAATGGACAAGTGGGAAATGAGTGAAATTACGGGGAATCGAAATCGTTTCAATCATTGGCGCGCTTACCATCGGTAAAATAAAATAAAATAAAACGATAATTTAGATACATTTTTTTCGACGAGATTTACAACGCGCACATTATTAATTAAAATTTAACGATACGTTAAACAGACAATAACAATACACTAAGTACAAAAGTCGGATGCAATAAATACAATATCGGTGGGACGGTAAATGACGATAGGAATGACGAGATGCAGAAGCAACTAAATGAAACTAATTTTTAATCGCGCCAATTATTATAAAATGTCAGTGGAAAGGGAAACGAGCGTTTTCCAAACAGGTTTCATCGTTTTTTCGAATGTTTCTATTAAAACACTTTTATCGACCCGAGTGCAATTCGACTTTTGACTACTCGGCGTATTGAAGAAGTTATTTTTCAATTTACCTCGCGGCTCTCTAAAAACACGGGAAAATACGTACATTCATGAAAATACGGTCAATTTTACGCTATAAACGTTTTATTATTTTCGATTTTGGAGTTTGTTTCACTACCGGAATTCTCGCGTTAAATTTCAAGTGTTTCCGAAAGAAAATGTCGTCTATAGTCTATAGTGCGTTCGGCGATCGTTTGTTTCGATTTTCCTCGCGGTTTTCTTAATAGCCGGGAAAACTGGGAAATAACGGTTTCGGGGTTTTCGATTTTGTTTTATCATCGTTGTTTGTTCGGACGGAAATAATCCTAAGCAGAGACCCGTAGTTTTTGCGAAATATCCGCGTTGGGTTATGTTAGAATTTTCAAATTACGCCGCCGGTGTTCCCGGCTATTTATAGGCACGTGCGAATCGCTTTTTCCTATCGATCTCGGAAATTATTTTCCCTCGGTCGTTTTTACCTATTCGGCGGTGTCGATTTACGCGTTTTGTAGCGGCGGTTTTCGGAGGACTAGGCCGCGGACAATAACAGTTACGACAAGCCGCCGCGCGACATGGCGGCGGCGGCGGCAGTGTAACCGACCGCGGCGACCGAGGGGACGGGAAAAAGGAGGAAAACGGTAGAGAGTGGGAGAGTATTGTTTTTAAAAGCCTATTCCGCACACTCGGCGACGCGGATTATCCGCCGTTATAATAATAATAGCAACGCACGTACGGGGCCTCAGCCTCGGAGGTTCGTATATATTATTATTATTATTATTATTACGGTTATTAATACAAACTGCGGTTTTTCGGTTTGTTTTTTTTTTTTTTCTTTCTTTCTTATTTTCGGTCGCGCAGCGGGGATAACGGCAAACGGCGGCGGCGTTAAAGGCGACGGGAGGCGCAAAAACCCGGAGAGAGAGTGAGAGAGTGAGAGAGAGAGAGAGAGAGAGAGAGAGACCGAACCCTCCCCATACCTCAATCCCTTTACGGCGGTCGGTGTTTTGCGGCGCGCTGTACACGGCCGTTATAACTCACGAGTTAACGGCCGCGGCCGGCAAAAACCTCCGTAAACACGGCCGCCGTCAATATGTAGCGGAGAGGAGACCGCGCCGCGGTTCTTGTACGCGTTATTGCGCTTACGGGGCCCCCTATATCGTTATACCGGGTGTAACGAATATTTCCTCGCCCGTAGAGGGAGAAAAAAAAAAAAGAAACCCCCGTAAAGAAAGTGTAAAACGCACTTCCGTCCGTCCGCGGCGGAAAACCGCATATCCGATACGCGCGTATAAATCTCCGCGCGGTTTAGCTTCCGGCGTGCGCGTATACGTCTACACGCCGCGCAGGCATTTACCTGCGATTTCCCTCCCACCCCCCCCCNCCCCCCCCGCCGGTCTTCGTTTCCGCCAAACTTTCCGGCGTTTTTTTCCCGCCCCGCCCCGCCTCCGACCCGCCGCCCGCCGAAACCCAATAAAACGCGGCCCGGCGACGGCGCGGGCGAACCAACGCGTCACGTGCCGCGAGGGTGCGATAACGGCCGCCGCGAAACGAACGGAAAAGCGGACGAAATGAAATCGTTTCCGCGGCACACGCGCGCGCACAGTTTTATTCCATCTTTATTACATAACAATACCTTATATATATATGTATATGTATATGTATATATATGTATATATGTATATGTATATGTACACGCGTTATGTACGTACGTTACGGTGTACACGAAACGTTAAACGAAATCCCGATTTTTCAATTATATCGGCGGTGTGTACGCGACGCGGGCCGTCGGTCGGGACATATTTAATACGAAACTAATTGAATTGCCGAAGAGTTACGGCGCGCCCGCCGCCGCCGCCCCCCCCCCTCCCGGCCCCTTTGAGCCTTCGCGTATCGCGGCGGGTGTTGTGACAAAGCGTCGCGTTCGCGAAATATTATAAATAATGTCGCGTGTTTTTTTTTGTTTTTTTTTTTTTTTTCTCTCTCTATTATCGTCGGCCGACGCCGTGTATCGCGTCCACGGTCCCGCGGCGGCGCGGCGAGCCCGTCGTTTTCCGAAGCGGCCGCCTTTTCGATTTTACCGGGCGGCCGGGCCCGGCGGTTTCTCGCGAAAACGTTTTTTGCCTCGTGTACGCTGTTTGAAAAAAATAAATAAATAATCGAATCAATTAGAGAGAAAAAACAAATGTAACGTGTGAACGTTTCAATTCGTCCGTGGCGAAAACGTCAGCGTTACGTGGCACGGCGTAAACGTGTCTCTTCGGATAGCTGCTGCCGGCTTTAAAACGCGTCCTTGTGCACGTCTAATTCGTAACGGAGACTCAACAAGGATGAACGATTTCTACAAAACTAGAATCGACCGAGTGTTCAAATTATCTCTCGTCTCACTATTGGGTTTCCTTAATTTTCAAATTTGTTGTTTATTGATTCCGTGTCCAACGCAAATACCTATAGGTTTTTAATGTATTTTCGCGTCCGAGGCGTACAAACCGCTTGTCCTCACCTCCCACCCCCACCCCTATCCTAATACCTCGACGGCGTATATTTATATTCATCCCAATCCGGAGAAGAAGATTTAAAGAAGAAGCGACGATAGCGGACAACGCATTTGTATACTCGGCGGGCAGCGGAGCCCGAGGAAATACTCTACTGCGAGATGATTGAGGGACTCGTGGAATAAAATTAACAATTTCGATACTTTATGAAATTCGCCAAAAACGATACAACACTTTTGAAAACCCCGTGTCCGTAATGAAAAGACTAACGGTAATATTTAGATCGGAAATCTGACGAAGCATTTACGGGACAAAAGTATTTGTTTAGAAACGGGTGAAACGGCTGAATTGTTGATGTTTTCGTGCGCCAACGATCCGGTATACTATCTCGTCGCGATAATCATTGGCAATTAAACCGTCCGCGCGAAAACTGTACTCGTGTAGCGGTACATTTTCTTCGTTGTCCTGCGAATAAACGGACCCGCAACGACTGTACGCCCGTCCGCGTTATTTATGATATCGACTTTTCAAAAACGGAACGAAAGTCACCGACGGCGTGACATTTTTCGTCGACATTATTTTATTGCGAATAATCGTACGCCTGCCGCAAATATTAATAATATGAATTTCAAATACAGTTTTACGACGAAGCCCGCTAAAAAAAAAAAAAAAAAAAAAAAAAAAAAAAAAAAAAAAAAAAAAAACCATTATAAAAGTTTGTCGGCGCGCAATCGAATAACGCGAAAATCGGTGCGCAATTATCTGTAATAGAATATTGTAATCGGGAACGTTTATTATTTGCTGACGGTCGTCGTCTGCGTTAATTCAGCGCCCTTTGTAAATCGGCACGCGCGTTTAACGAACGTCGATGCCGACCATCGCTTATTGTCTATACGGGTGTTCGCTTTGTCCATTTTTCCCATACGTTTTCGCCGGCTTTCGACGAGTACAATGAAAACTACAAGGAAAATCCGAGAACGCTCCCACGACAAAATGCTACGACGGAAAATTCTCTCACTCTCTCTCTCTCTCTCTGAAAAGTCGTAGACAGACAGAGAAAAAAAAAAAAAAAACTACGCGTCGTAGTAAAACCGGTACATTTCTCTGTGGCCCGAGAACGGTTTTCGGGATTTTAACAAACACCGAAAGAACGGCCGGCCGTGAACATAAAAATTTAAAAAAACCGTATTAATTCGTTCAGCGGAACATCAGTATTCGAGGCGGAATCCAACCCGAACCGGCCGACGCCGATCCGACCTCGACAGTCGAAAAATTCAAAATTCAAACAAAAAAACAAAACGAAAAAACCTAGCGCGCGTTTTCGGTGCCGTACGCGTCCCCGCGCCTAGCCGCCGCCGCGCGGACGGTCGTTCGGGAAATTCCGACAGCGCGGAAAAACGACTCGCGTCTACGCTGTCGCGGGACCCGCGGCCCCCGTACGACCAACCGCCGCCCCGTCAAATCGCCCCGCGGATATTACGGATGTTCACGCGTTTTTCAAATATTTCACCGGGAATCCGTCGCGCGCCGCCGCCGAGCTGACTTTACGGGCGCCCGCACACGCCGCGCGTGCAGTCTCGTCGTCCCCGCCGCGGTCCCGACGCCGACGTCTCAGCTGATGATGCCGTGCCGCACCGTTCCGTTCACTCGCGTGGCGTGCGCGCGGCTGTCGGGCGGGCGCTTTATTTTCGTTGTTCGTGCGGACCGGATGCACGCGAAACGTGCCCGCCAGCTCGGAAACGCACCCGCGGCGGCACCGCGCACGTTATCTGCGCGTCGAAAACGCGCTCGCGGCGACGGCGAGTGCAACGGGATTTCCGTCGACGCGCCCGTGTCACTCGGGTAATTCATCGATTTCGCGCGTCTCGGTTAATTGCCGAAATCGATAGCCGATTGCGATGCGTTTTTCGGATCCCGAGCGAAGCGATCTTTGGACGCGCATCTCGCTTCTTTTCCGTTTTGTTTCTCTCTCTCTCTCTCTCTCTTTCTGCGTACAGTTTTTCTCGTGGAATCCGTCCGCTTTCGATCGGAACACGGCAAGTGGTGACTTTGAACGGGTCACTTGTTTTTTTTAAACAAATTAAACTTTTATTATTTTAACGTTTTTTTTTTTTTTTTACTAATACGCATAGACAAGCTATACCGACAGCTAACAGTCGGTCCTATTGTGGAATATTCGTTTATACCAGGGGCGTAAGTACACGCAGGGCCGGATCGAAGCCGCGTGCACTCGCACGAGCACCGCGCTTTTAAGGGACCAGCATTGATGGGAGATTTCGATTCTGTACTGAAAGATTACATATTTAAAACAGTAATCCCAAAACGGATTAAGAACTAAAAACGCACACCCGTACATACTTGTATTTAACTCGTGTAGCATGCAAAATTAACCGATTACACGAATGGCCAAACGAAATACGATGTTAGAAATTGTCAATAGAATAAAATAATCTAAATATTATTCGATTTCGTTAGATTTCGTCCCTGACGTTAGCCACCGCGAACACCTGCAATTATCGGTTGTTGTACGATGTATAGACACAGAAACTACCGCTAAATTGAACCTCCTGTATGTTTTGAAATCGTTGAGAGTTCAACAGGGCGAAAGTCTGTCCGATAAAATGACGCATTCGGTAAAGTCAGAAGGGTCGTGTACATCTGACTATTGTGCGAGCTCGTGTACCGCGTCGGATACATCCAGTTGAAAGCCCCGCACGACGCTTAGACGTTTTCCAGGCCGGCCTTCCGTGCACATGACTATTGTGTAGCGGATGAATGGGGCAAGTGACGAACAATTCCGATGCGAGAAAGTTTTAATTGTCCGTTTTTTTTTTTATTTTTTTTTTTTTTCTGAAATTGCATTCAAAATTTTAAGAAAAAATAGTTTGATTCGGTTGCAGATATTCGAATATCACGATCGAAACGCGAATCGCACGCTACATTATAACGATTGTCGGCAGTGCGCATTCGATTATCTACAATGTAGACGTATCCATATTACTGATATAGATTACGAAAGAAAACAAATACAACAAAAAAAAAAAACAGCGAAAAAAATTATATAAAGATACTTAGCGCACTCTTCCCCCCCGGGCTGCAATATCGTTTCGGGATTGTTTCTCGTCAGAAAAACGAAGCGACGATTGTTCTTTTTTTTTTTTTTTTTCAACCGTTTTCTCATTTTTCTCGTTTTTGTTTTTGTTTTTGTTTTTTTTTTTTTACTGTCGCATTAGAATAATAATACACAACAACAGAAAGAAATAAACATTAACGGCACATTCCGCGACCGGGGAATTGTTTCGGTCGGTTTTATTATTTTTATTATAATATTCATTTTTCTAATTTTTTTTTTTTTTTTTCTGCTTATCTTTTCCGTTTTCATTTTCGGTCCGGTTCGTTTGAGCCGCGCGGGGACAATCAAATAGAGCGGCCGGGCGCCACGACCGCGGCGTTATTATCGTCACTGATATTACCGCGATAACGGCGATAACGGTAATGAAATTGAAATAGCGATACGACGTGCCACACCCACGCGTATTGCGGTTAATTATATCGTAAAGATCGTTGTGACGAGATTATCAGCGGTCCCGTCCGGCATCGTCCCGGCAGCCGTCGGGAAGTACGTCCCACGCGGGATTCGCCCGTGTTTAGTGTCGAACGAGAGCGTTTATTATTATTATTATTTTTTTTTTTTTTTAAACGTGTTTCTCTCCGCGTCTCTCCGCGTTCCGTAGTCCGTAGAGTTGTATACAAATATATTTTCAAAAAAAAAAAAAAAAGGACGCAAAAACTTCGCGCGCGTGTGCAGCCACTGTTGTAGGTAGGAAGTTGGGAAAGCAGAACACGAACGGGAATTTAACGGATATCCGTAAGCAACGATAAACCAATGTTCGCGCGAAAACGATTCTGAACGGAGTCTAATCGACAAGTGGCGCTTTGTCAACAATATACATATATATACATGTATGTCATATTATGGTGAAATTATTACAGCAATGTGCGTTTCTATGGCAACAATGATCGTTTGAAAAAGATAACAATAATAAAAACTTAATGACGAACAAACGTTGCCAATGACGACCTTATTGTTAATATTTCAATCTTTTTTAACCTAAAGAACTAGGTTTTACTCATAATCGCTTCTAAGAATTTCCAAAGTGCGACTTCAAACCTTTTTTTTAAAACAATAATAATATAATATTCGAGCGTAGTAGGGCGGGAGCTATTGATTTTACAATGTTGTTTTTTTTCATTTTCTTTTTCTTAGTTCTAGTAATACTAATATCGGACTTACCTAGACGTGGTAACATTTTTAAAATCATTGGACGAATTTTTTTCCTTTTTTTAATGGTACTTTTTTTTTTTATACATATATACTTTAGACCACTTTTATCTTAAAATACTTGTTCCAATGTATAAGTGTAGCACCTTTTCTGAAAGTCAATTTTATCTACTTGGTAAATGCATGGGTCATTTTTGATTTTCGATACGGTATTAAAAATAAAAACGATTAACCGGAAAAAATATACGATTTTTTCACGATTTGGTTTTTTTAAATAAGTATCTACCCCGTTTTCTAGCACAAATACGGCTCCAATTGAAAACGACAAGAGGCTTTTTTTTTTTTTTTGAATTATTAATCTTGTTTTTAATGATTGAGGTCGTTTTTTGATTTTCGAATTAGTTTTCCTAATAATCGGGAAAAAAAAAACGTAGGAATAACGTACAATTTCACGGCAATATCATTTTAAATTAATACGAAAAACGTTTACTCAGGAGAAATGCTTTAACCGAATAATGACTAGAAACCTTTTTTGTCTCATTATACATCTTGTTTCTTATGTCGCGAGCAGTTTTTTGATTTCATTATATTTCGGAAAAACCAGAAGAAGACGGAGTTGTTGAAATTCAGTTAAAAATATTTGTAGCGACTCGAAAAATGACAGAATGCCCACATTTCGTTGTTTAACTTGTACCGTTGAATACTGCGTGTCAGAAATTCGACACGATGCCGATTATTTCAGCTATAATTGTATTTATTATATAACCATCGGAAGTATAAAAATAAATCGATACCGTTCAAGGAGAGAAGTTTAAAGGGAGTGTTTTATTGTCCTCAACAACAAGAGGACATATTTTTGTTGAATTTTTGTTTAATAAGCGTTTTGATATCAAATTTAAACCAAAATCGTAAAAAATTTTACGGCACTTCAAATTATGCATTTCCGAACTTCGCTCGGAATCGTCTTTCATCAGCAATCGTTTATCGTTGCTTGCAGATACAAATGAAATAACCTTATATATCCTACCTTCCAAACTTCCCACCTACGACAGTGGTTGCACCCGTCCTCAGTATCAGTTCTTTTTTGATATTTAATCGTTTTCTCGAAAAATTTTGTGTTTTTGTATGCGACATTTTTGTTCACCGACGAGGTTTTTATACGATTCTGATCGATACGATTTTTTTGCGTCTTGAAAATCGGCTCGAGATACACCCGTCTATGTAAAGCTCATTCAAATAATATTTGATTTTCTTTCGCGAGTTTTAAACTTTGAAAAAAAAAAAAAATCGCGTTGTATATATTATTATCAAAACCGTATCTTTATTAATATTCGAGTAAATACTTAAGACGCGGGCATTCGATGCGGGGGCATTTTCGTCGTACGTTCGAAATGGTGGCGTGAAAATAATAAAAAAAAAAAAATAGTAATAAAAATAAACGTACGCGATTTATCCGTTGTGGACAAAAAAAAAACCGAAAATTCTTGTCTTTAAATTTAAAGGAAACGTACCGCCGCCATACGTACGTTCGAGTTCAAATTCAATTTGTTCGCGGAAAAATCGTGTAGTAAAGTCATTATTTACGAGTATTTCTCATATGTATGCACATACTTATACGAACGCCGCTTTGCTGTCATTTCAGATGTGAAAATAAAAATAAAAAATATTTATACAAAGAAATCTGAAAAAAATCTGTACACAAAAAGACTTTTTTTTCCCCCTTTTTACTGCTCAAGCGACATTTTTTTTTTTATTTTATTTAATTTTTTTTTTTTATATATACATAACGCGCGCGTTCACCGGTTAAACGCACACTCAAGTAAATAAACATAATGAATTAGTAATTTATTTTTTTTTTTTTTTTCAAAGTCCGCTCAATAGATAATTAATTCTAAGAATAATTCTCTATAGTCATATTATAACAGTGAAGTGTCGTGCGAATCAAACAGACGAAACGTAGGAAAATCGCAATGCCGACGAGAAAAATTCCGGCGTTCTATACGGATATTAATAATCGAATAGAGAACGTTATTGAATAATATTACTGCTGTCGCAAATCCAATTCGAATTCGACTTTTGAAGCTATTATAGTTTTAGCTACAGGGTTTTATTTTTTTTATCGGAAAACATTTTTTTCGTTAAGTAAAAACACTCCGAATCGTCGCGCCTTAGAAGATGCGGATTTCTCGCCCAGATGATATTTTATTCGAACAATTTTCCCGGATTCCTAACGGGTTTTCTACGCAACAAATGAAATCCGATAACCAATGACTCCGGTTTCATTTTCGTTGATTTTCGCATTACATACCTATTACATTGGCTGTACGGAGAAACCACCTCCGGGAAACTTACGCTCGCTTTCGCTTGATTTATCGTTCCTTTCAATTTATAAACTCAAATATTGCCAGTTATATATATAAAGTATATTTTCCCAACGACGGAGTAAAAATGCCTACCCGCGGTCCGAAGTATGTCTGACTTTTTAATTGTTATTGATAACGCATTATACCTCCAATAGGTTTCGTTTTGTTTTTTTTTTTTTTATTCCAATTAAAACTTTCTTACCTTTCTTACCCGAAAATAATATGATCCCGACGAACGTGACTCCATACACATGTATATTTTTATATCGGGTCATTTGTAATATTATCGTAACTAGAAACCTAATAAGGATTAAAGAGGTTTCTTTTTTTTTTTTTTTTTTTTTTTTACCGCATTTGATAATCTACTGCAACAGAAATAAAATGATATTTTATTATACGTGACATCAGTTTCACCGGATATATTCGAGTTTTCGAATGATTTCGTTACACGGACGCTATAGGGCGGCGATTCTCAAAAACTTTTTCGTCCTCTGAGCCCTATTATGTTAATGAGAAAAAAAAGCCACGGACCTCAAAAACCAGAAATGCTAATTTTAAATCACAATTCATAAAATATTACGTACGAATGATGCGCTTTTTAATCATAATTATATCATTATAATGCGAAAAAAAAATATACATTTAATTGAATTAATAAACACTGTGGAAACTTTAGTTTGTTAATTATTGATTTATAATTCAGGATCGGGTCCACAGAGACCCTACTAGATTACTTTCGCAGAGCTATAGGGCCAGTGGCGTAATTAATGGCGGGGACTCTGGAGGCAAATTTCCCTTTTCTTATAAATTCTTAGTCCTAAACGCAGTGGCGCTGGTTTTGGAGGTAAATATTTACAATGGGCAATACTAATGCAAAATTCATTAAAACATGTTTATAATATTTAAATTGTCTTTGTATTTTTATTCATAACTAACTGATCTGGCAATACTTTGCTGTTGCTAGAGAATAGTGTAAATAATAGCCGAATAACCGAATTGTCATTCATGTCATCAAGGTAACTCACGATTAAACAAACATAAATAAATTAACAATTAGATTGTTCGTACCGAAAACACCTAAAAAAAATCTAAATTATTGAAATTTTCGTAGTGATCTCTAATTTCTTTAGAAATAAAATACAGTCCGTTATACTCTTTGGTAGCGTAGATTTTTATAGATGAAAACAATTTTAAAATCGGTTGAATTTCTGAGCTATAATGTACAAATGAAATCTTGTTTCTTTGTAATATTTTTAAAGAATAAATAATGGACGAACCGAAAATACGAGGAAAAAAAATCGATAACGTTTATTTGTTCGTCATTCTTCTAACGAGAATAGTAATCTCTAAATGACGTCCAAAGGGGAGGGCATATAGTCTCCATTCACGTCCCAATATGATCTTGGCCTTATTTTCATCATAGTTTTCATTATAATTTTGTAAAATCATAATTTTTTTTTTTCAATTTCAATGAACTCCATATCGATAAAACTTTTCTACTGATCTACTGATCGATATTTATAAAAAAAAGGAAAGAGGGTATGGCCGTTTTTCTGACGAATATGACGTTTTAGACCGAAAATCTAGACAAAACTGTAAAAATTGGGTTTGACGGACGGATTTCAATATTTTGAGATTATCGTATTACGATTTGTTAGGTTCTTAACTCGGATACGTGGGAATTATTCGTGTAACTCGAATTGTTTTTATCGTAAGAAAAAGTAAACTTTTGAACATTTTCATAAAAATTAAATGAAATCTTTTCCGTTTCAGACATATTTTATCCGGAAAAAATCGGAAGAATCGTATCGTCCTAGACGGTTTTGTCCGGCTTTTTTATTCAAGCCGACTGAAAAATACGCCGTCTCCGTTCGTCCCTTGTGAATGTCACCGGAAAACAAGTGTTTCTTCGTGCTTTGCTCGGGACGGCAATTATCTGAATACGCGGGCTACAACCAAGGCCAGATTAAGGGGGGATCCAGAGAGGGCCGCCAAACCACCAGACTCCTAGAGCCTGAGCTTTGCCACAGTATGTTCTATACGCATGCGTTTAACCATTAACTTTGTGCGTCGATGTTTTAATAATTATTCGTATAATTATTAAACTACAAGTGACTTTGTTAAAATGAATGTATGTTTTACTTATTTAAATAATGTGGTGTTTAGCTTTTGAATTGAGATCCATACGATGTCTAGATACTGTTTGTTATTTGTTATTTGATAGTCTCGTTGAAACGTTTGTCCTGGGGGCCCCTTTGAACGTCTTAAACCCCGGGCTCGGCTATAACGTTTCGAGAACAACACACTATCGCATGATTAAAATATAAACCGCGATAAAGAAGTAGACGAAAAGACGGACCCGCAGGAAAACAAAAACTTTCGTACGAAAATAATCCCGTCTTGCAGCGGAGTCGATAATTTTCCGGGATGTCACGCGGCGACTGTCATAATAATAATATACGGAATGACGTGCGCGAGTGTATCGTTACACTCAGTCGTGATGTATACACTTTTACGGAACTTCTCGCGGGAAGACAAAACACAACGGTTTCCCCGGTCGTTTTTATCTCCGGCCGACACCCGTCGGGCCCGGGCAAAGCTCAAAACGCCAAAAACTTTGGCGAGAAATCGCATTATTTTATTGCGTCGTCCGTCTCGTACAATAATGTAATATCGTTACGAGTATATCGCGTGCGCGTGCAACTTTTTCTTTTTTCCCGAATAAATCGCGCCGAGACCACTTTGGTATAATTATATTATTACTTCCCGATCGACCGGCCCTTTCGACCGGAACTTAGCTTTTCGCGTGACCGTATTAGGACGCGGCCATAGTATTCCGAGTAATATGGTCAGTGGCGGACTGTGCCACCAGTAAGCCGGGAAGTTTCGCGGTGGGCCGGAACTCGGTCGCGACTCAATGGACCGGCCCCAGCATTATAAAATTCAATTTAGACTTAAAATAATTCATTTTTCATTCACACAAATATTTGCGTTGTCTACAACATATTGCGCATGCGTAATTGACAACCAGGATAAAAACGACCACGATTTAAGATAACACGATTGCCTTCGTTAAGTGGTTAAATGCGTCGTGTCCACAGATATGTAAAACAATAATAATTAGGCCGATGAAACGAGATTCTCCCGGGCCGGTAAAATTTCATAGTCCACCGCCGGTAATAGTGACTGGGACGGTTACTGCAGAAAAACATCGGCACCTCGGTTCTCGTTCGGTTCCGAAACGACGTGTATTTTGTTTCTCGGTTCCGGTACCGATACCGCGGTTGTTTTTTTGTAGCGCGAAAATGACAAAAAAAAAAAAAAAACTGCTCTCATACAATATGTGATTTTTTTTTTTTTTTTTACTCGTATAATCTATAGAAACGGGAACGAAAATACGAATCCACAATATTTAATAAACCGTATTAGTTATCGTAACGAACGAAACGAATTAAAATTTTAAACACGCGTCATAAAACGCATACGATATCGAAGTCATTTGTTATTGACAATATATAACCTAAAAAGTTCTATTGAATTCTACGTTCTGTGTTACCGCAGTAATAACGCGTCTTATCATAAAATCCGATATTTACTATAAAACAAACGATAGAAACTAGTGTGACCACACATAAAAAAAAAAAAAATAATAATAATTAATAAAAACTGGAACCGATAAATAATCGCACTAAAACCGAAACCGACCCATTCATAGTTCTGAATATTTAGAAACACATTTGTTCATAAACATTCAATACAATATTCCGAATAGTTTTCAAAAGTATGGTATTCCATAAAAAAGAAAAAGAAATACTTTTTCTCGTATCCGTTTTATAGTGTTCAACGCTTAACCTCTGAAACGTGTGCTTTTTTTCGGTTTGTGAAAACGCTTCGATTTGTTCACGTAATTTGAGATTGCATAAAACATGCAGGTTGAGTGGTACGTGGATATAAAAAGGTCGGGCACTCCTGTCTCAAGTCATCCGAACTTAACGTTACCGGTTTTTTTGTTTTTTTTTTTTTTATTTCAACACATATATATTTCTATAAAATATTACGGAAAATCATTTTGAACTACATAATAATATACCGAACGCTAGTTCAGATTCTGAGCAGAGCGAGGAACCGTATTGGCTTTATATTGATATTTATTTCTTTTTTGTCGACTACTTTTCTACCAGACATTTTGCACCGACATTTTTCAAACGTAGCACCTTTTCTGAAAACAAATTTCCACGGGCCGGACAATCAAGGTGTACCGGAAAGATTACGAAACGTATTGTTTTCAAACCGTAAACATTACGGTCTTTCGGAAAGCGTACAACCGAATTCCGCTCAGAATGGTTTTTCGTTAGCAATGAGCAATCGTTGCGTACGGATGTACATTGAATTTCCCCGTTTACCCTCCGCAATCCGCATCTACAACAGAATACCGTGCGAAATACGTCCGGTTATTTTTTCGCACTAGCGTTGATGTTTAAAAATATTTACGCGAGACGGACCGAGGCATTACAAGTCCGCAGGCGCGACTGGGGGGGACGCTAAGGCATCTTCAGAACGTTGAAAAAACACGATAACGTTGAAACGGTTACGGTCGATTGCTGTTTACGTAGTCGCAAACGAAATGTGCAATCGTTGCGTATCGCGAGAACCGCGCGAAGGGGATCGCGGCGGCGGAGGCATAGCCCCTCCCCCCCCCTCGGGTTTTCGACACGTCCGTGATTTTTAAGCACCCCCGAAATCGGTGACCGGGTTTCGGCCACGGTCACGGCAACAACGACGGCGGTATTAATTCGCCCGCGGCGGGATTTACAGCGGCGTTTCACGATTTCGGCCCGACGGATTTACGGGACGGCGCTGCGCAGGGCGTAACAGTGCACCCCGGCGGCGGGCGCTCCGTTAACTTTTATTTACGTCGGTCCGGACGTCGCACGCGCGCGGGCTTTGCAGTCCGATAATCCGGTAATATCGTTTAAAGTTTGTATCCCGGGTCGGCTTATTAGCTAAACGCGAGAACAAATTTACCGGGGCGGCGCGGCCGCCGTACACCCGAACGGTCCGCGAGAACGTAAAATTGATAAACGCCCGGGGCGAAACGGAATTAACGGCGGCCGTCTCGCGTTTCTCCTCTCGGCTGTCGCGCGCGGGCCCGTGCCGGACGGACGCGGTTCGCACTGGCGCGGGTAAAACGTGCGCGCGGCTGCTAACGAGAACGCAAAGTTTTCGCGTGCGCCGACTGCGATCGAATCAGGCCCGCCGCGATAACGTATATAATATTCCGACGGAAATTCGATTTGTTATTATTACTATGTTGCAACTATGTATTAAACGCGATAACGTAATGAATTAAAAACGGCGGGCGCGCGTGTCATAATTCGATAACCGCGGAGCCCGGGCGCCGCCGTGCAGTTCGACAAAACACTCGAAATCGATAAGCGAAAATGGGCCGAAATCAAAAAAAAAAAAAAAAAAAAAACACTAAAGTCGCTTATTATTGATATTAGGGCTCCGGCAAAGCGATTTAAATGTGGAAAAGAACCGACAGAGCATCGAAAAAAAAAAAAAAACCGCGCGGCAACAGAGCTCCGTGACTACAGTCGAGTTTGCCCCGTATAGCCGACTTGTTGCCGTTACAATATTTATTTTTTAATAATCGCACGGCCTAAAGCGTCGCTGTGCGTCGTTCGGATGTTTTCGTGACGGGCCATCGACACGCGTGTGGCGTCCGGGGCTACGATCGGGGCGCGACCGCGGTCGGTACCCTTAGCGTACGCGCACACCGACGAAATCCGTACGCCGTCGGGCGCCGCTCGATTCGCGCGCGCCGGGGCCGCCGGTCGCGGTTTCAAGAGCAGAATCTACGCGTTTTCCGTGTATTACGTGCGATTCGGAAGGATCCGTACACAACTATCGTACACCGTAAATATTGTACACACGGTACACACCGTGTGTAGACTAACGGCAATTTAATATTAATAGTTTTTTTTTTTTTTTTTTTTTTTTTTTTTTCTAAAACCGTTTATTATATCGTCTCGAATTATATCTCCTCGTAGCGGCGCGCGCTCGTCTCTCTCTCTCTCTCTCTCTGTCTGTATCTCCGTATCTCTGTATCTATCTATACGTGTATACATATTTAGTTACGTAGACGGTGAATAAAGTAAATTGAAAACGGCGGCGGCGGCGGCGGCGAAAGAAATCAATTTTCATTTTACACGTCCTACAGCCATTTCAATGGGACGCGACATTGTGTGCGCGCGTATACGGTATTATTATTATTATTATTATTATACCTATACTCGCATAATATTATACACAATATATAATATTGTGTGTCGAAGGGAGCCGGATATGAATGAACTCGCGAAGACGTTGCGCGCGTACGGCGCGGAGTTCCCGGAAAATTGAATATAATATATTACGACGCGTGTATGAAGACTTTTTTTTCATTCCCCCTGCCCCGTACCGCCCCCGTCCCCGTCGCCGGTCCGCGATTTTATTCGTCGTGCATATTTTATACGCACTAATGTATTATCGCGTCGCGAAATCATATTATTGCATTATGCGTAGAAAACCGCTTATATTGCCTACCCTGTCCTACACACACGTGCCCACTATGCGTGTGTGTGTGTTGAATTTGATATCGACACGAAATAGTAACAGCGCGGAAATCGCGGACGAGTAAAATAGATTTTGTCATACGAAAAAAAAGTGTCGGCGACATAATCGGCTTTTTTTTCCCCCCGTGCGCCTATTGGAAATGATATTATGATTATTATTTTTTTTTTTTCGGTCGAATTTTCCTCGGAAATAGAGACCATTGCGCTGCGTTATGTCTACGTATTATTCATATTATTTCCGGCGCGTTTACACTTTTAGCCGCTCTCAATTTGAAACGAATAACCTAACATTCGATTTTTTTTTTTTTTTTTTTTAGGCTGATTGAAGAAATTATTGAAGAGAGAATTTCGGTAAAAATTTAGATACGAAATTTACCGCGTTGTTGTTGTTTTTTAGCTTTGTACACCCCTACAAACCCACCCCCCCCCTCCACGCCTCTTTCACTTTGACGTATTTAATATTTGACCAGGTGGGTAAAATTTCATTAACGAATATCTACCCTCCCCCCACCGTTTAATTTCTCCGGTGAAGTGTTACAACCGATAATGCATTTACCTAGGGGGACTGTTATTTCTCAAGTGAAATTTTACCGGGGGGGGGGGAGGGAGGGTATAATTTAGATTTGTAAAAACGAAAATCGCAGGTCGAGTGCGAGTGGGAATCGCACACTTTAGACACTAAGACATTTGAATCGCGATCTCGGTTAATCTCGTATTACCGATCTCGCAAAACGATATTATATACTCGCGTAAGTTTTTCCCATAAATACGTTCGTGATAAATTATTTTAACTAATGATAACCTTTTGTTCAGTTGCATAACAAACTATTTATAAAATTCCGAAGTTCGAGTGGCCGGTATACGAGTTATATATTACGAATAACTAAGTGTGTGGATTTCGAGTAGATATCTCGTGTCGCTTAGAAGTCAGAAGTATCCGACAGACGGTACAGACCTACAGACGGCCGGAGTCGGTACATCATTAAAGTTCCGGTTGGGCGCCGCGGGCACGAAACCTCAAAACCGAAAAATCTGAACTGTTTTATTTCCATTTCAAACACACCGCGTTGTGCACTTAACCATTCTTGTAACGTGCCGTTTGCACGTACCCAGAGTCGTTCAAACAATAACACTGTTATTGTTTACGATTTACAACATTGGAATTTATCGAAAAACCAACAGACCGTGTGAATAATGACGATGTTGAAAACACCATTAAATAAAATGCACGAAACGTTTGTCACCTTTATGTATAACTGCCTATAGGTAGACCATCGAAAATGTAAAGTGCGATGGAAAATGTTCAATTTGATTCAAAATAAAACGAATATTTTCAAACGAAAAGCACGAAACCAAGGACCCACAGCGACAAATAACTTTATATGGCTTTAAGATTATACTTTTGACGTGGTTGAAAAACTATTACGAACCTTTTGATAAAAACCGTTGCGGTAAAAACGAAATTTATTTTTTTGTTTTCAAATATCCATATTGTTATAGGGGAGTACTTCAACGCCGATTTGTCTATACAGCGTGATTGCAACGTGTATACCCGCACATCGATATTTTAGATTCTGTGCGGAGCGAGGAACGTGTTGGTTTTACAATAAAGTTGTTTTTTTTTTTTTCCGTGAACAACTTTTCTACAAGCAATTTTGCTCCGATTTTCAAATATAGTATTTTTCCTGAAAGAAAATCTGATTGGGGTGGCACTTTAAGAAGGCCGTTTTTCGATTTGCCTAGGAGTTTCCCCTTCAAATGGGGCGAAACGTAGGAAAAACAAGAAAATAGGTACAAAAACAAACAAATATTATCAAAGAAAAAATAATAACGCGTATGTAATTATTTTACCATAACGCCGCTCAGAATCGCGTTTCGTTAGCGGCGGTTAATCGTCGCGTACGCATATATTAAATTTTCCCTCTATTACCTTCGCGAATTCCCATCGACAACAGCGGCCCGTCAATTGCACGAAGCGTGTCCGTATTATTATTATTTTTTTTTTCTTTTTCAATAATATACACATTAATATCGACAAAGATATCGAGTTCCGGCGAATCCCGTCACAACCCGTCGCGCCAAAGGAATGGAGTTTTACCGTGACGGCGGCACTGCCGCATTAAACGCCGCTCGTGTTCGTAACGGCAAAAAAAAAACACAAAAAAACAAAAACCATCCTTTTCGATCTATTTCACGGACTCGGAGAACATCTCAAAGCGCGAGAGCGGGGGGTAATCGCGTCAGAAACGAATACCCGCGCGGTACGGCCGTACGCGGCTACGGTGCACCGTCGGCGGAAAATTACGTTTCGCTCGTCCGCCGCGGGACTGTCGGCGCAAAGCGTACGCGCAATACACGGGCGCGGGCACGCGGCGAACGGAAAAAAAGAGCCGCGCCTTCCCGTCTGCGGATCGGTTTCAACGGATATTGTGTTTTCGAGCCCTCCGTCCCGCCCGCCGCCCGAACCCCGTTTCGGGAAAAGCGCGAGTTATTGACGTGCATACGCAGTGGCAACGCGGTTTAATGGCCGCGCGCGAGACGCTGTGCATAAATATTATCGTTATTATTATGACAAACGCACAAAGCCCGCCCGCCGACCGCGCCGCGGAGCGATTTTCGTTTCTTTTGAAGCCGCCCGGCGCCCGTACACGCGTACAGAGCCGGTACGCGGCGCCCCGTCGGAACCGACCGTGCCTCCCGGGACGGTTGACGTGCCCGGCGGTCCCGTCGAGAAAACGCGGTATACGTACAAACGCAATACGGTCGCGCGGTTGGATCGGCGCCAAAACGCCGGGGCCTTTACCGCCGCGCCGGGTGTGTTTGCGACGACGTTGTCGCGCGTGTACGCCGACGGGCCGACGTCGCGCGAAAACCGCCGCGGTTCTCCCGGTACACCGGCCCGCGGCGGGGCTTAGGGGCCGACCGCACGGAATTCGCCCCGGGACCCGTTCCCGCCGGCGAAACGATTTCTCGTATCGGGTGTGGGGGGGAGTGGAGTTTCTCCCAACCCCCCCCCCCCCCCCCCCCCCTCCACCCTCACACCAGAAAACTCGCGTCGTAATACGCGTTTCGCGCGACGGCACGCGGCCGCGACGCCGTCATCGCATCCGAGCGCGTGCGGCGTGCGCGCGAGATTTCTCGCCGGCCGTTTCGGAATCGGCGCCGTACGCGCGCGCACTCGAATAAACAAACAAATAATCGCAATCGACGGAATTAATTACAAAGTTTGCGTAGACACTCGCGGCGTTGTACTGCTACCGCCGCCGCCACTACGGCAATAACAACATAATATATTGACACAATACAAACCGCCGTTTCCGGTCGCGCTCCGAGAGCGATTTTCCTCGATAATAGACATAATGACAATAATGTTACTCCTCGCGCGCCTCTACGCGTATGACGATGTGTCGTTTTGCGCAACACCACCGGGTTCGCCGTGCGCCGCGATCGAGTTTACGCCGTTTCGCCGAACCGAAACCGAACGGTATTTCCCCGGTGGTTCTTTTCGACGCGGTTCGATTATTCATCGGTTATTGGCATGCGTTCCGCGTTACATTGTAGCTCGTAATGTTACGCGCGATTTCCAGGTCGGTCAGTCGATTGATATTGACAACACGCTATCGGGCGGGGCGTGTGGGAGAGAACGACCGGGGTGGCGGCCGACCGGCGCACGGGCCGCGGCGACAGATCCTAAAAACCTGTCCGCGAGCAGTCGGACGGGCCGATTTTTTTATATTTTTAATGTTAAACAGCGCGCGCGAAAACAATACGGTCTAACGGAACACGATAATACGTTGCTTACGAAAATCAATAATATCGGTTCACGGACAACGAAAAAAAACGATCGAAATTATCGGTAAAAATGGGTGGGTAATGCTGTAGAAGCGTACGGCGATCGATAAGATTACTGCAGGGTGTTTAAAATGTAACGAAAAACTTGAAAACGTATTAAAACGTTTAATATATTGCGATAAAAAAAAAAAAAAAAAACGGACAATCTCCGTACGTGGGTGGCCCACTGTTGTAGGGGTGAGAAGTTGGGAAGATATTAGAGGTGAAATTGTGTGTACGCAATTAGCTAACAAAACAACGAATAGTTTTGCTTTGTCAACAAAACTCGATTTATGCGTGTCATAATATTATACTCGTAGCGATATAATTGCATATTCATTAAACAGTGTAATTGTTTAATATAGTACCTATTTTCCTGTTTTTTCTCTAATTATTAGAAAAACTCCCGGGGGGGGGAAAAAAAATAATAACCTCCCTCGAGTAACTCCCCAGATAGATTTCTTTTTAGAAAAAGTGCTATTATGTAAATCGGAGCAAAATTACTGGTAGAAAAGTTTTTCATTGGGAAAAAAATAGAAAATAAAAATTATTGTAAAACTAATACGTTCCTCGCGCCACCCGGAATCCAAAATTCTTCCGGAATCGGGTCGAATTGCAGTAATAAATTTTATTTTTAAAGAACGGCGAATGCAAATTCATTCGTACTGTTTCGGAACGTGAATACGAACGATAAAATTTCATGAACATATTACGGAACGCGTGTCACGTTGTTATCATTTATTTTTTTTTAACGATTCGCAAAGCAATTATAGATACCCGAATGCACGCAAATACGATCGATAGTCGTTTTTGTATCGAACGAATATTTTCGCCGTTTTGGAATTGCGGCAGTTTTCTATTGCGCGCGTCAGCTTTTATATCGCTATACGGAGAGAAAAAAAAAACACAAAATGATAAGAGAGTTTCGATCGGACGGTATCGACAGGTGAAAAAAAAAAAACATTATATGTAATGCATAGGTATTTGTTTTATTGCCGACGTAAAATGTATACGGCCGGACTGCGAAAATTCCGTAACAAATTATCGCGCGCGTATAAAATAAATAATAGCGAAAAATAAAAACCGACCGCGGACAACTCGTCGGAAAGTCGAAACTTTTTCTCCGCTAATACCGTGCCGCGGTTTGTGTAGCGCCGGAAAAACGTGACGGTGGTCAAAACTAATGGGACGGCTAACGGGATGGGATAAGTTAAATTGATAGCCGAGGGCACGGGGTTTTCAAAAACTACGCGTCCCCGGGAGCGGTGGACAGCAATCGACGAGCGGTTCGGTAACTGTCCAGTGTTTTATTGACCGACGACGCTATTAGTTTATCATTATTAATATGTGTCCGAAACAAAAAAAAAAAAATGAAATAAATAAATAAACACTCTGGCGGACGTAGTTTTCGGTGAAAAAAAAAAAGAAAAAACCATACCCCGAGGACTCTAATGCGTTTTTTATTATTTAGTATTATTTAACGGGTCGGCGGCGGCGGGTCGGGTCGAAACGACTAACAATAATCGAATAAATACGAAACGATCAGCGGACACGAGTAGTATTCCGAATACATTCCGAGTGTTTCGAATATTTCGTAAATACGAATTTTTTTCGTTTTCGGACGGACGTGTTCAATACTATGTTACGGTGTTCCGAAGAGTTTTAAAAAGTATTTTATCCCTTAACAGAAAGAAAATACTTTTCGTCATTTTCGTTTTAAAGTGTTTTATTGTTTCACTGAAAGACGCGTAATTCATTCCTCCCCCCCCCTCCCCGGCGAACACTTTCGGTTGGTAAAAACGATCCGATTTGTTCACACGTAACACCGAACAATGCGAAATTTCCAACGGTTCGTTCCATTACGGCTACCACTCTTTGATGCGCCTGTTTTCATTTAGTTCTCGACTTTTATGATAGTGACGCACCCGTCGGAAAATCGACTTTTAATCGAAACTCGGTAATGGGTGAATTTCACTATCGCGTATCGGTCCAAAACGTCATATTCGTTCGTAAAAATGACCGTTCCCTATTGCCCTCGAACGGATATCGGGCAGTTAACGGGAAAGTCTTACCGTGAAGGCGATTGTCAAACGGTAAAAATGTTTGTCCGATTTTACAGATTTGGAGACGGTTCCGGAAAACCGTTTCCCAACGCCCTTGACGGCTCGGAAGCACCGAAAAAGCTGCAATATACGCACTGATAACATTATTATCGTATAAAACATTCGTTTCTTGCGATGAGTAAATTGGCGGTGAGACAACATGTACCGGATGTCCGCAA